TAGGAGGCGGGTGATGACCTCGATTTTGGTTTCATACGAGAGCTCGCGTCCAGCGCGCAGAAAATCCATGGTAGTGAGGCTCGCGGGTCCCGTAATTTTGAAATGAAAACTAATGATTTCATTTTATTTTTAAGACCGATGGCGAAATCAAATTTAGGTGCGAAAACTTCGTTTCCACCTTGTCCAGTCATTGCCGACCCCCTCTCGTTTTTGATTGTCTTTGAAACGTGATGTCGCACATTGATTTTGGACTTAAATGAATTTTTGGGGTCGCTGAGATGAGAAATGTCGCCAGTAATCTGGAACAGAGGAAGTATTCTGTTTGAAGGAATGTGAATCCATTGTATTCAGAAGAATATGCGGAGCAGTACATCGAAGATTTGATGAAAAATTCATCTATGAACACCCAAATTGCAAAAACCGGTCGGTCGATGCGTTCGACCACTGCAAGGTGTAGATGAAATTGCCCTGTTGCGCTCGTCGAGCTGACCGTGCGGCTGGCTTTCACTGGTGCGGCGACACATTCGAAAAGGTGGTCTCCAACACAAAAATACTTCAGCTTGTGGAAAATCCAATTTAGCTGGGTGTAATAATGAACCAATCCGTGAGCCCTTTCACACTGGTCGACGAGATTTCAATTTGGATGCAATCTGAGATTCGAGTTTTTTATGTATCGAACCAAGCTCAGGCTAATATGTGAACATGTGAATGATCCAAAGTGTGAATAAATTTCACAATTCTCAAATGCCCATTCTAATCATGTGATCGATAATATATGAACGAAGTGACTTCGTCGAGCGATCATGTGAGCGTCGGGAAGAATATTGCGTAGGACGGTCCCCGCTGGATTGAAGGCTTTTTAAGTGGCTATGAGTGACGGCATGGAAGATAGTAGACGAGAGACGCCAGGAACGACGAAGGAACGCCTTAACAGTGCAATAATCTGAGGTGATCCTCTATTTAGACAGTGCTTGTGTTTGCCATGCATAGCTCATCACAACACCAGTTTGGGCGGGGCGTGGTCGTATGACTTCTCTTATCCAACTGGGCCGCTCCAACGACTTGAGCTAGCACGCAAACGGTGGGCCGACATATAGTGCCTTTCTGACTTACAATCTTTATTACATAGGAAACCCGACTCTCGCAAAATGCTTCAGTCCCTCGCTCGAGGTATATCGAACCTTCGAGTCCATGCTGCGATGACACAACTCCATTGAGTCATTGGAGGCAACCCCAACTCACCGTGTTGCTCGTTGTTCAAATCCTGCACAACAAAGTTTGAAGTGCGAAGGTATTTTAACTCAGGGTGGGGGGCATGCACTTATGCTTGTGCTCCTCACATCTTTCGGCACATGCTCGAGATACACACCACGTGGCTTGGACTAAGCCAATGAGGCAGAGGGAGAGTTGCAAGGGCAAGGGAATGGTGATATAACGTTACACAGGTTTTTTTTCCAGTCGCTCAAGTAAGAATATTTCCGCCCTCATTGTGCAGGCCGACCAGCCAACACCTGTATATATGAGATCCCCACTCCTTTTGTTCGAGAACCTGACCTGATACAGTCTCTCCCCTACCTAGGGGAAAGGGGCGATTTCCATCACAAACCAACATGATGTCCGACCTGACAGAGGCCGACATTCCGCTGCGAGGGCAAGCTCGCGCGTGCGATTTCTTGAACAGGGGTACGCATGAATAGAACACCACCCCATCCATGCATATGCTGGGGCTACTGTCCAATAAATCCGCACGGTATACCGAGTATGTACATACAGCCCGGTCGTCGTGGCACATAGAAGCTGACCGTCCCGTAATCCACCGAGCTGCTCGAGGTAGTATTTTTCCAGAGGCCAAGTGCAGCGAAAGACTACGGTAACCCACCGCAAAGCGATTCAACCGAACGGTTCGGTCATGAAAACCACGAGTGTGTTCGCGGGCGACGGAAACAATGAAACGAGCAAGAGATGCTTGGGTCGTGACCCCACGCCATCACCAGAACAGGGCTTCATGTGTCGACGCGCGCGTGGTTGTGTGCCGTCCTCGGCAACGGCATGCGGTCGACAAGGATTTCACAAACGTCCGAGTTGTCGTCGGTCGGTCATAGATCGGAGAAGTAGCTGCCCCGCATAGGATGGAGGGGCTCAGTTCAGTCCAAGAGAACACAGGGCAGGAGGAATACGGCCAACAAGTTTGCCCCCAGTGGTCGTGACGATGATGAAGACACGACCCAGTTGCCAACTCTCTGCATACGACAACGCTGGGTGAAGAAGGGAAATGTACCCACATGTGTGTGGGTAGGTAGGTGTCTCTGCCCCCGAAAAAAACTGATCCTGCTCGGCCAAGGGATCAGGGCTTGGTTCGAAACGCTAAAATTCCACGGCGCCTTTGCCACCGACGAAACCATTCACTGCTTGCGATTGCGCGGACGGCGGTGCACTTTTCCTTTGGGCAGTGCACTTTTCCTTTGGGCCGTGCAGTTTGCCGTGGCGTTTCGTTCCAACGCTGTAGTCCCCCGGGGCATGATAGCTCCCCCCGGGTCATCGTCGAAAGCGCGCTGGACCCAGCTCGTACTCACTCTCGAGGATTTCCTGTAGACGATCCAAATCCCGATGGTCCACGTTTGCTTGAAATTGTTGCCTTCGTCCCTTTCCACCTTCTACAGGGTCCCGCAAGAATCGTTGCACGGCAGCAACGGTCGTGGAATCTGCTGCAGTCGGCGTACGCTTGACCAACACGTGGGCATGGACAAGAGCTTGTACTTCGACGAGGGATCGTTTTGTGGTCCTGTGGAGGGGTGTGTGTGGTGGAGAATCGCCTCCGCCCCGAATCTACAGATGCGGGAATTCCTCAGCCTTGTTGCCGCAAAATATCGAATGTGTATCTCACGGGAACATGGAATGTGGTGAGTTGGAGGGCAGGTGGTCGTACCAGCCCCTAGCCCGTTCTCGTGCAGGGGCGTCTTTGGCTACACGGGGGTCGTCGTGGGGGCGACATGGCGCGGGGGTGGGACGCCCACGGAATCTCTTGGTCGACTCGAGGACGACGCTCGTGAAGATCTCAGCGAAACCACGAGCTACTTCAACGTGAACTGCGGAGAACAGGCACCACGGAAATCGACCCACGCGCTAGTTTGCCGTGAAAAGTACCCACGGCTAAATATAAATCGAACCCGCCTGGTACAGTGTAACCACGGACGATGTTTTGGCACGAAGATCGCCACCGAGCGACACATTGTCCAATTCCCATCTCGTCGCGGACGCTGCTTGCTATGGACGCCCCACCGACGTCGCCGTTTCAACTGCACATTCAGCTGCCTGAAGCGTACATGCCACCCACCCACCACCACCACCAACTGTACTACGGCACGCCGACAACCCCCGACAGCCACGACATGTACTCGGGGGACGAGTCGCCGGCGTCCAGGGCTGGTGAAATCGCGCCGTTCCTGCGAAACTTGCGCAACATGCTCGAGCGAGAAAGCCCCGAAGTGCTGCGATGGAACAAGGACGGCACGGCATTTGAAATCCACAACATGGACGAAATGATGAACTCGGTCCTACCCAAGTACTTCAAGCACAAAAAGTACACGAGCTTTCAACGGCAGCTCAACTACTTTAACTTTAAAAAGTGGACCAAGAGCCGCGCCAACGTGTGCACGTTCTCGAACGAGCTCTTCACGCGCCACGACCCGTTTCGAAGCGCGTTCATCACACGGAAAAAGTCCATCAGTGGATCGAAGGACCCCAACTTGACCGACACGGGCGACGAATACGAAGACTCTAGCGGCCGACCGTCCTGTGACTCGCCGTGCTCGTCCGTGTGCGACTCGCCCGTTCTCGGCCCGACGTCCACGTCGTTGTCAAGTGTTCCCAAGGGGACGTTGGACCTGTCGTTCGAGTCGTTGAGTTTGCACAAAGCACGCATGTCCCCGTACGAAAACAAGCACTTGACTCGAGTCTTGGGGGGTCGAAAAGCGATGCGAAAAATGCGGTCGTGCCCTGCGCCGGTCGAGCGAAGCACCCCCCTCCAGCCACACATGCATACGTTTGTGGACGACCTCAACTGGTTCGGAGACACCGAGTTCAACCACATGCGCGACTCGGCCACCAGCATGACGTCGGGGGAATGGGACGACGACCCGTCCGAAATGAACTGGGTCGACTTGCTTCCGTACAACGACGACGCGACCTTTTTCGACCCGCCCTCCCAAACGTCCGACAACAGCTTGAGCCCCCTGCGAGGTCCCTTTGTCCCGTCCAACACAGTCACATTTTTCGCAGCGCTCTAGAGCTGTCTGTGCGCCGTTTGGGTGTAGTCATCGAGAGGTTGTGTTTTTGTCGTGCAAGATCGTTGGGAATCTTAATTTATTTCTGTCGCAGTGGAATCGACCTGCTTGCGCCGCGCCTTGATGTCCCGATTCGTCATGCACGGCATTCAACGACCGGAAAGCACTGGACATGGAAGTATCGGGGCAGTGCGCGCATGCTCGATCCGAGCCCGGCAACTTCGTTGTCGGCTAGAGGGGGAGGGGTGTAAGCGCCTTCGATTTCTCCGCCCGCACCCGTTCCCTCATGAACTGAGCTGCCTCGTCCCCCATCTGTCTGCCTGTGGCAATATCGAATCCCCACCTGAGAATGGCCAGACGCCGCGCGCGCTGCTGCGAGCAAACTAACGCTCCGTCGCTGCCCCCCAGCTTCACGAATGCAATCGCAATGCGAATCGGTTTGCCACGTCAAACGCGGTTGCAATAGCCCGTCCATCCAACGCCCCCCCCCAACAAAGACAACCACCTCCAAGTGAAACTCGATGTCGTCGCAGCAGCGAATTTTATGTTTCGCCGGTGGATGACGCGCCGCGATCGTGTAAACTCTAGATACGCGTATCTGGCTTCCACACGCAGTAGCCTGCCCAGAGGTGCCCTTGTACTCGCCAAGTACTCCCGGGGACACGAACTAGGGCCGGCTTGATCCATGCGTCTTTTGCTCAACCCACTCGGTGAACGCGTGGCAAGCTGCCGTCTGAGGCTCAGTCCTGGCTGCGCCACTTGGAGGAGATCGTTTGCCGAGGATTTGAAGCGATCGGCAGCGCCACGACGGCCGTTTCGGCATAGCAACGAGCACCAGGTGAACTCACCTATCGAATGTTGCAACACTGGCACGAGAAGGAAGCCAGGGGAAGGCGTTGTTCGGGCAAGGATCTGCCGACTTGACCGAGGGCACGCACGGGCGCGCGGGACACCACCGACCGGAAACCCCATTCGATCCATTTGGTATATTCAAACACTCCAAAACTCCTCCACCCCCTGCACCTCTTCTGCATCATGTCTTTTCATAAAATGGGGAGCTACATGTACACTTGATGTGAATCGGTCACATCGAGTCGTACACCACATGAACCAGCGCAAATCTACAGTGGCATGGAGAGAGATTCGTCCGGGCCTTTCGATGCCAGCTTGCGGTATCATGCTCGCCCACGATTACGCCACCGGTCGAGCAAGCCGCGCCACCGGTCGAGCACAACCGCCGCGCCGCCTTGCACGACACCAAGATGTAAGTTTCCAAACCGGTTGATTCGATAAAAGTCAGTGAATTTTGTCCAATTAAAATAGTTTTGCCCATCGCAATCACAGCGCGGACGTGCGATCGGCATGTGCCCAAAGCGAAGGTGACCGAAGTAGTCGAATGGGAAGCACAGGCTTCGATACACCTGAACGAGAACAAACGTCACATGGCACGGAGAAGGTGTGTGGAGTCGCCGTCACAATGGACGGCAACTGATGCGCCATGTGCGTCGTCGTCGTGTGTACACAAGCAGTAACGAGTCGTATTGATTGTTGCTACACAAGTGCAAAGGGTTTGAAAGGGGGTCATTTCTACTGCGCTCAATACAACATCTCGTCTTTGATCGTCTTGGGGTCGATCTTGGGCACCAATTCGCTGTCAGGGCGCATTCGGAAGCCAGGCTCGGGATGCTTGTCCCACTTCAGTGTGGTTTTGCCTTGCGGTCCTTCGCACGACAATTGCCCGTTCATGGGCAACGAGCCCCACTTGTTCATTGGAGGCGGCTGGTTCTTCTTGCACGCATCCAAAAGTTGACGGGTGGTCTCGGGGGTCAAGTTTTCGTAGAAATCGTCGTTGATTTGGACCATCGGCGCGTTCGAGCAAGCGCCTAAGCATTCCACTTCACGCAGTGTAAACATTTCATCGGCCGTCGTTTCGCCTTCCTTGATGCCCAAATGGTCCTCAATAACCTTCTTGATTTCCTCGGACCCGCAGATCATGCACGGCGTCGTGCCGCAGAGTTGGATGAAGTACTTGCCCACCTTTTCGCGGTTGAACATGGTGTAGAACGTCGCGACTTCGTACACTTGCATCGGCTTCACGTCCACGATGCGAGCCACCTTGTTCATGGCCGCAAGTGGCAACCACCCACCATGTTGGCGCTGCGCCAAGTCCAACAACGGGATGATCGCAGACGCTTTGTAGTTCTCCGGGTATCGTCCCAGGATTGCGTGGACCTTGACGTAATTGGCTTCCGTGAAATCAAACGACGTTTCCTTCGTGTTGTCGGGGGTGTCGCGGTGCTGAGAAATCCCAGCACTCATGAAGCGCGCGGGGCCAGCGGCGGCAGCACGACGGCGCCATGCAGAATTGACCAAGCGTTGCAGCATAATGACTACTCGATGCGATTCCAGCCAGTGGCCTTGGTGACCTCACAGGAAACCTCTATGAATTAATCCTATGCAGGTGAGATGAGCCCATTCGTAAAGGTACGCAACTTTGAATACACTTGCATTTTGTATGAAGCGTACCTTACCGAGTGGCCTCGACTGACTGGAGTTTGTTTGGCTCACAAGTGAAGGACCCAACCAAGTGTCAATATGGTGCGGCGTCGATGGCGGTCCTTGCGTGTCGATGATGACGGATTATGTATATAGGCTGGCGAAGATCCCGTTGATGTGATGCCTGAAATCCGCAAGGCGTGCGAACCCAAGTGCGTCGAATCGTTCAAGGTGTACCGAGCATGCGTAGACCGCATCACGGCCAAGGGCGAAGGCGCTTGCGACGGCCAGTACTTCGACTACCTCAAGTGCATCGACAAGTGCTCCGTGCCCCAAATCTTTAAGCATTTGAAATAGAAAGCATCCTCCTCTCCCGGGGACTGGAGTAGAAGAGACAATGCGTTCCGCACTGCCGACGCGCGCGTTTCATTGTGGTTCAACCTGCCAATGTTTTTCAGTGTGCGTGGTTGCATGTATGAGCCCGTCCCCGTGAAATATTGCGTCGTACTTCGACCCACAAGACTGTGGCAAGTGCATCGCGGTCAACTGGCGCAGGTTCAAAACGCATAGCAATTGCATTGTCCGCTGAGTCGGCATCGTGAGCTGGCCAACTCTCATGGCATCCCATCGATTCGTCCACGTACAAGCAGCATCAACGCCCTGATGACCACTCATGGCGAACTCGTCCATCGTGCACACCAACGATCACATTCCTTGCTGCATTATGTTGTCATTATTCGGTCGTAGTCATTGCGAGAGGCGTCACTCTCGCGGCGGCGACGAATGCAACCTCCATGTGACTCCATATTTCTTCGACGTCTTCGAGACCGATGGAGAACCGAATGAGATTTCGGTCGAGGCCACACGACGCAACGTACGCCAGCTCGTCGTAGTGCGCCAAGATCGTGTACGGCACGGCCAGCGTAAAGTTGGTGCCGAGACTCGGACCTTTGGCCACGTTCAGCGCATCGTAAAATGCAGCAGCTGCCGCTTCGCCTCCATGGAGTTCCATCGACATGAGCGGTCCAAATGAATCCGCCGCGTCGTCCGGGTGCGTCAAATGGGCCTGGTACAACGCCGTGTCGACAAACTTGGGGTAATACACCGCCTTGACTTGACGATGGGCGGCAAACCGACTCGCGAGCACGGTTGCGTTCGCGTTTACGCGGCGAATGCGGTCGCGCACATCCTGCACGGCGATCATGAAAAGCCCAGTTCAAAGGAACTTCCAGGACGGCTTACGTTGGACATGCGCAGAAGTTCGACGCAGTCGTCTTCAAAGATGTATCCGTCCGTGGCTAGCGAGGGGTGGATTGTTGTGTGCCAGGCGCTGGCTGGGTTGAGCACCAACGACCCTCCCGTCGCTGTGCACGCGCCAGTGAAAATTTTACTCAAACTCGTGGCCACGATATCTGCGCCAGCGTCGAGGACCTGTGGCATGCATTCAACCGACCGCGAGATGCGTGTGATCAAACGAGATGGGACCTCTCACATGCAACACGTCGACAGAGAACGCGACACAAAGGTCAAAACGAACCTCGACGTTGTACGACCCGACCGTGTCGTCGACGACGAGAATCGTGTCGTGGCGGTGAGCGATCTCCGCCAGGCGCTTGAGGTCGACGCTGTGGAGCAATGGGTTGGTCGGGAACTCGGTGAAGATGGCGGAAATCGAGTCGAGGTGTTCGATCGCGGCCATATCTGGCGAACGATGTCAACTACGGCGGATTCAACCGAGACGTTGCACGCACCTGTGTCGTTCCCGTTGGGGTAAAAGACAAAGTTGTCGCTGGAGCCCCACTCCGGGCGCCGCATGATCTTGAGTGTGTCGAGGTAGGGAAATCCAAACAAGACAATCTTGCCTCGGCTCGACTCTTTTAGGGTTTGTGCCAGTCGAAATGCAGCGAAGATGGCAGACATCCCGCACGGATACAGGAACACGTCGCGGCACGAGATGTGGGGATATAGCGAAGCCACGCGCTCCTTCAATGCGACGTGGACAGCCGTGCCATCCATTGCTTTAGGCGGTGCTTGGTCCAGTCGGTTCTTGTACTCGAGGATGTGACATGCCATGCGGGACGTCACGATTTCCCCGCTGTGCTGCCAAAACGACTTGAACGTCTTTAGAGCTTCCGCAGGAATGACGATCGCGTACGCTCCGCAAATGTTCAAATCGATGAGCGGCATCTCGATGGGGTGCGTGAACCGGAGGAAGGATGCACACCGCTCTGCGACGGTCCGCGTCGGCAACACATACGCGAGCTTCGTTGCGTCGTTCACGTACGTTTCCCAGCACCACTGGTTCAACGCTTTCACATAGTGATGGTACACGAAGCGAGGATATCCCGACGGGAGCGCGGCATGGAGCTCAGGACACCCTTGAGAATACGACTCGACGTGGTTCCACAGCGGCATCGAGACTGACACAGCATGCACGTCATCAGGCAGCGTTCCTCCAAGCGGTACGCCCGTCAAGCAGCGCGGCGGGACGATTTGAGTGACCATGCGGTTGGAGGAACGTGGTAAAATGTCTTTTCGTTGTCGCAGTGCGCCTCATGTTAACAAACATATCGAAGTGTGGCAATCACCTTCACATTTAAAAAATAAATGCACAAAAATCTCATCGTGATAATATCCAACCGAGAGAATCAAATTCGATCGATCGAAGCGTCCACTGGAGCGGCTCTTGCCGATGGTGGCTCAACTCTCACGCATGGCGCACCATGGCGGGCTGAGCCGGCTAGTGGCAGCTATCGAAGGATGCACACTCACGCATTGTGTGTTAGTCAGAACGCACTGGATGCCTACTACGCACGGGCGTGGATGTGTCTTCGCAACGATTTCTCCTAGAGGGCAGTGGCTCTCCTCCACGACGACCGACGTGCCTTTAAACGCATGCAGCGGGGGTACATGGCTGGTTCGCCGACAGCTTCTCGCACATCGTCACAGTGTGCGGATGCTCCCGACTAGCAACAGGACTACCGAGAGCAGCTCAGCTCCATCAAGTGCATGCAGCAGAAGGGCACCACGACGTCCTTGCGGTGGCGCTGCAGGATCTCTCGCCGCAATCGTGGACATGCCACACCGAGTGCCCATAATCATGGGAATGTTGGTCGTGGAGGTGGTTCGACCCACGGGGCCATTTCTCAATTGGCTATCGGCGGCATGGGTCGCGAGTTCCGTGCCTTTGCGGTCAAAAGCGCTGTGTTTGGAAGTGCGATTTGGGTGGTGGCGGCGCTGTTTGTAAAGTGGACGCGCCGTGTCTTCTTCGACTCGAACGCCCCCCTCTTGTACACTCTCTTGCTGTTTGCTGCGTCGATTCCCGTGAGTTTCGCCATTGTGCAAACGGCGCGCGTAGCCTTGGGCAGCCTCACCAAGCCGAACGTGCTCTTCTCAATTGTGATTGCAACGACAGTCGCGGGCATGTTGGATGGCGCAGCAATGGTGTTGTTTCCAGACGCGTTGTATGGCGGAGCAGGCGACGGGTTGGCCACAGGCGCGGCGTGGATTCTGTGGGGTGTGGGCTGGTGCCTCTTTTGGACGATTGACGAAGAGTGCTTTGAAACCAACGCGCTCCGTGTAAAGTAGCGTACAAACATTGAAAAATGGTCAGCGATGTGATCTCCATGAAGCCAACGTCGATCGCTAGAGTTCGTCATGCCATCTCCATCATGGCAACTGCTGCTCTGGCAGCCTTGGTAGCAGCGACGTCCCCAACCTCCATGAACCATTTCACAGGGAGTGACGCGTTTGAGGAGGTTCCAGTAGAGCTGGTGTAGTCAATTTGGACGGTCGTGTCACTGCGCTTTCGTCCCCCCCACACACACACCAACGTCCGCGAATGATCCTGTTCACCGACACTTCTAAATTCAAGTCCACAAGTTCTTCCAAGGGGCATCCACGGAGGCGCGTCCGGCGGAGGTATCGTCGGGCAAGTGAGTCAATTCAATGGCCACCTTGTGCGACCGATATGTCGACTGGATGCACCGGCTGCCGTTCGTTTGCTCAAGGAAAACCCATCGCATGTCCATTATGGGACTTGTTCTCTTGGCCGGCGGCATCCGCGGCCGCCCGCAGCGCGACTTCCATGTGGCTCCAGATTTCATCGACGTCTTCGAGGCCGATGGAAATGCGAATTAAGTTTCGATCGACTCCACATGACTCGACGTAGTCGAGCTCGTCGTAGTGCGCCAACAACGTGTACGGACATGCCAACGTGAAGTTGGTGCCGAGGCTCGGGCCTTTGGCAAACCCGAGGGCATTGTAAAATGCTTTCGCGGCCGGTTCGCCGCCATGGAGCACCACCGACATGAGCGGTCCAAATGCATCTGCCGTCGTGCTGTGATACGTCAAGTTTGCGCTGTACTGCGCAGAGTCGACAAACTTGGGGTAATACACCGTTTCAACTTGCGGATGCGTCGCAAAGCGACTGGCGATCGCCGACGCCGACGAGTTCACTCGATGGATGCGCTCACAGACGTCCTAGCATGAGGCATGTACAAGTTGTCGTGCATGGCATGGCGCATGCAATTACCTTGGACGCTTCTAAAATCTCGACGCAGTCATCTTCAAAGATATAGCTGTCGGAGGCGTATTCGTTGTGCAAAGTTGTATACCACGGACTGGCGGAGTTTACGACCAACGACCCGGCCATCGCGGTGCCGGCCCCGGTGAAGATTTTGGTCAAGCTGGTCGCCACCAAGTCGACGCCAGCTTCCAGGACCTGCGATCAGTGGTCACATCGTCCGCCTCAATCGACCAACCTGAACGTTGTACGACCCAATCGTGTCATCCACGACCAAGACAGTGTTGTGTCGATGTGCGATATCTGCCAAGCGCTTCAGGTCTGCACTCTGGAGCAATGGGTTTGTAGGGAACTCGGTGAAAATGGCAGCCATCGAGTCCAGTTTATCGACTTCATCCATATCTACAAACAACAATTAGACTTGACGGGAATGTCCATGTGCACTTTCGTGCCGTACCGGCGCTGGTCCCGTTGGGGTAAAACAAAACGTTTCCACAGCTCCATTCAATCCGTCGCATCATTTTCAGCGTGTCAAGGTAAGGGAATCCAAAGAGCACCACGCGGCCTTGAGTCGACTTGAGCTTCTGGACGACGCGAAATGCCGCGAAAATGGCCGCCATCCCGCAAGGATACAGGAACACGTCCCTGGGTGTGATGTGCGGATACATGGACGCGACGCGGTCGCGCAGTCTTGCGTGGACGTTGGTGCCGTCCATGGACTTGTGTGGATGACCGGCCACGTCACCATTGTCTTTGTACTGCAAGATATGGAGTGCCATGCGCGACGACAGTATTTCACCGCTGTGTTGCCAAAACGATTTGAAAGATCGAACAGCGTTGACAGGGAGTACTATCGCCACGGCGCCGGCGATGTTCAACGGAATTAGCGGCAAGGGCCCCGAAAACGTCGCCAACAAGAACGCTTCACATCGTTTTGCCACGGCATACGTAGGTAACACATACACGACCTTGGTCGGGTCGTTCACGTACTTCTCCCAACACCACTCGTTGACAGCTTTCACGTACGCATGATAGACAAACCGCGGGTACCCCGACCGCAGCGACGCATGCAATTCAGGACACCCTTGTTCGTACAGCTCAACATGTTGCCACTCGGGCATCGACACGGACACGGCATGTACGTCGTCTGGCAACGCGCCGCCGAGCGGCACGCTCAAGCACCGCTGCAGCGTCTCGGCCATGAGAGATTTCTGGCCTTATCAATTGTCAAACTTCTAAAGATCCGTGGAAAATACATTCAATGCATACATTGTACGTTCTATCCGATTTCGATTCGTCCAGCCAAAGTATACATAAGTCAAATATATTTGATTTCTATGATTCAAACGTACGTTGTCGTACAATTTTCGTACACTCGTGCCTAAAACCCAGATATTCGATACTCGAAACCGGACGAAACGATTTGATTGAGTTGGCCTTCAATAATGTGGTATCCTTTACGATGATGCTTGGATTGAACACTAATGATTCGATCTGGCGTCCTGATAATTTTCATGACTCCAAGTACCGGGGCCATGAATGTGTCGTTGAGAGGGGCAAGATGGACCTGCCTTCCCAACACCCATGTTTGTTTGGATGCAAAACCTCTCGAATTCAATACCGAAACGCTTCGTCATCCGGATAAAAAGGTAACTGCCAGGCTAACTTTACGCGCGTGACATGCGATGGATGCCAGCACGCGGGTCATGGTTGCCAGTGCCGCGCTGCAGTCCCGAATGTCCATTCCTTTAGCCCGCCGCGATGGCACCATGCATCAATACAAACTCGTCGACTCGACCACCATGTCCAAGCAGGTGAGGTAGATCGCGGGAGACTCTATTTCATCCCTTCACTGTTGAATGGGTACAGCAAGCTGATCGCAACAGGATTATCGAAGAAATCGAAGCGAAGCGAGCATCCAAACGAGCTGCAGCGAAGATGGTGCACCCGTTCGAATCGGCCCTGAGTGTTCATGTACGAGCACCGCCTTTTCATCTGAGATAGTCAACTTCAGTTTGGCAGGGCAACAAACCTCGTTTCAAGCCATCTGGGCCAAGGCAACCCCTCCACAAGTTTCCATCTGCACCACGATGGAGCAATAATGACGAAGATATTCCATCGGACGACGACGTCGACGACTCCCGAGTCGAGTCCCACCGGCGACATCACGCTACGAAACCAGATGAGAAAGTGTACATCCAAGAGCTCGAAAACGAAATCGCGCGACTAAAACAAGCGCCGCCAGCCTCCTATCAAGAAAGTGTCGACGAACAAGTATTGCAGCGACTAGCTGAGTTCAAAGCGGTTGGTTTTCCTTTGTAAAGGTCGTTGTAAACGCCAAACCATAGGCACAACAACGAGACCTAGCCGTGGTTGAGCGGCTCGTCAAAGCTAAGAAGGCAGCCGACGCTCAGATCCACCACCTCCAGCAGAAGCTTCAGTCTACAAGCCCACTGAGTGGCCATTCGTCACCTCAGCACCGCGGCAAGCAAGACAGCGTGAGGCCACCCACGAGCAGTCACATGCCACAACAGCACCTCCGTTATTCCGCGCAACAGCATACTTCATCGCGCCTGCAGGGGAATCCAACATCGAAACCAGCCACCTCTTTCCCACGTCCTACGACTCTCCAAGTTCGGGCAGATGACGACCACCATGCCTACGACAATGGCGAAGGCGACGAAGCAGCGCCTCCTCCGTTCGACACGGGCCCTCGTACAGCAAGCTCAATAGGGGAGCCTCCAGGACTTGGCGACCTGAACGAACCTTCGACGAAGCCAACTGCACAATCTTCCAACGCGTCGCAAATGCATGACCCGGCACCCCAACGTGAAATATCACGTCGACCTAAGTCGCCTTCAGCGTGGGCCACTCGTGTGACCAGTATGCAGATTCTTGGAATCAGCAGTCGCAGTCTTGCTCACCGCTGCGTAGAAGCGAAGAGCCCAACAGCAGGACTGGCTTCGTGCGCAAGCGACAACGACCATTCTTCCACGAACCATCGAAAGGGTGGATTCTTTGAACAGTACGTGACAAATCGAGGCAACCTCTCCGTGCTCGACCACCACCCACAAGTAGAAAGGAGAAAACCAAGCAAGAACAACTGAACCAGGAACGACTTGCCCAGGAGAAGCTCGCTCGAGCGCACCGCGCTAAGCCGCCAAAAGGTACGGACGACTTGACTACGATGTCTTGGTGTGCCATGTTTCACGGGGCGGTCGGAAGGCCTGCTGGCGAACGAAGCCAAGCTCCTTGAGCGAAAGCAAAAACGCGTCGAAGAAATATTACAAGAAGAGGAAGAACGGTGCGCCCCGTTTAAGGCCCGCGACGCGCCGCCTGCGACGGAGTTCGACCCCGACTTGCTTGAATATTTGCGCAAGGAGCGTGTTGCGGCGCGAGCTGCAGACCTCCTTGCGTCCAGCAAGCTGCCGAGTCGGTTGGCTGACGCCGCAGCCAAAGCCAAACCAAAAGCGTCCCCGACACCCCGCCGCGTGCGCATCAAGGCCGCGCCAGTTCCAGATTTTGTTATGATGCAAACCGAGTGGAAAGCATCCCTGCAACGAGCCAAGTTGAAGTTGAACAGCACGCGAGTCGATGCATTCTCGGTGACGGACCCTGCCAAACTCGCCGCACTCCAGAAGAAGAAGCAGGAGCGATTGGAGCGCCAGAAGCTCAAGGATGAATCTGCGGTGTGGCTGTGACCAAGTAGACATAGGCTGAATGCTGGGCTTGACATGTAGCGGACGGCAGCGGAAGCCGAACGCAAGCGCGCGTACGACAAAGCCATGGTAGCAGCCAAAGAACCAGCTCAGGTCGTCGAGACGGAGGCCCAGAAGCTGCGCACGAAAGCAGTTCAATCCAAACTCAAGCAACGACAGCTCCAGGAAAAAGCTGAGGTTGGTGCCGTCGAGTTTTGTTGGAGTCACTGCATTTGAACATTGCTCGTGGGCAGGAGAGAGCTCAGCTGAAGCGCATGGCAAAGATCAAACAGCTTTCGAAACAAGTCAAGGCCGAAGTCACGAACCTGGAGAAGCAGCGGCGCGCGGAGAAGGGCAATTTTGTGGTAATGTTCATCGATGGTTGCCAACATGCATCCTCTCAGCATCGAGGCTCGAGCAGGACCCAGAAGAAGCGGCGAAAGCCAAAGCTGAAGAGAACAAACGGTCATTTCAAGAGGCGATCCAGCGCAATAAAGAGCGCATTATGGGGGCAGTCGCGGCGCGGCCAACACTCATGGAGCGGTTCGCCATCGACAAGAAGAAGGATGAGACCAAGGTAGACGGATGTTCGACCATGATATGTTGGAGGAATTCCGAGCAAATGTGTTGCTTTGATCAGCGACAAGCGTTGGCGGCGGTCGTGTCGAATGTGTTTGGGAAGAACATCGCAGCGTTCAAAGGCGTGTTGACGGACGGCGAGGAAGACCTTGTCGATGCCATGAACGTCACGAAGAAAGACGACGCTGGCGATGACGACTACGCCGACGACACAGAGTCGTAGCCTTAGGCCGTGCAGCTGATTTTCAATACACATCGAGGCACCGACGCAGTCGAATGCTGTCGTCCTGCTTGCTGCGGTACCCCTCGTTCTCCGAACATGACACTCCCAGACCCAGGCATTTCGACGATTGATTAATACAGTTTTGATTCGGTTAAGTACGATCACTTAGCCGTGCATCCTATACAACCAAACGCGCGATGCCGAGTGCAGCCGCGGCAGGAATTCTTGCCTTCGTCCACGTTGCAATGGCGGCGAGCCGCGACGCATCTATCGTCGTTTACGAGCGTACGACGACAGATATCGTGCTTGTCGTGGCAGGTATGGCCTTTGCCGTGCTTGGGACGGGGCTTTTCGTCGGATATGCCAGCTTCGCGTCGACCCGTCGCGAGAAAGCAACACCAACTGCGACGATCCATTCGGTACACGGAGACGCTGGCACCCATACGAACGACATGCCGCTGTTGTCCAACCTGGACTCGTACCCCCTCGACCCACGGGGCGACGCGCAGTCGAACCCAGTCTACCCGCGTACACTGGTGCGGCGGGAAACGCCTCTGCTCGAGCGGTGCGGGTCGTCCACCGTGAGCGACTATCATATAGCCGATGAGACAGAACTGAAGCCTCTTTCGTTCGAGGTCGAAGCCCAGCGATACAACGTGCAGATGCGATCCGCGCACCCCTTTCCCACGCCCGATAATCGCTTTAACATGAGGGTAATCGACGAAAAGCACTAGTACTCACATTTTCCTTCCCCAACATGCTCCTGCATGGAGCACGCGCGAGAATCCTTCGCGCAATGCTATGTGTTCCCTGTGGATATTGGACCAGGTCAGTTGGACGATGCACGACTTGGAAGCAAAGCCCCGACGAGGGAGTGGGCCATGATACGAGTCACAGCACTCGACAGCCATCCGGTCAGCCGTGATCACACCTTTCCCTGTGGCATGTACGAGCCGCGGGAGGGTTCACGGTCCGGCCTCATCCAGCACTGACTGGTTCGTCTAGTCATTACGATGCGCCCTTGCGCACACATCGATGGGGCCCACGCGAGATCGCTGCCATCATTCTCTCACCAGCCAACCAATCGATCCGTCAACGTTGCTGTGGCGTCGCCAGCACGATGGCCGTAAACGGTGTGGCGCCCGGTGGCCGTCCGAAAAAGACCGATCTCCCACACGTTGAGACAGCCGTGGGTGGTGCCTTGAGTCGACCCGTTCCTTGTTGCTCTCTCGCCCTGGCAGGAGTCGCTCCTTCATCGAAGTCGACGCGGCTGCACGAAAGGTCGAATCCTGTCGGCGATCGTGCGCGCAGCCGTGATCAATGTGGTGCTCGGCGCGATGGATACATGTACCGTATGTGCAGGTTCTGCAGCGAGCTGCAAGTTGAAGCTGTGCGGTACGTCCGCCACCGAAAGCAACATGGTGAGGGGCATCGCCCGCGGTACTTCTCGTTGGCGTATTTCGAGGTAGATGGACCGGTCCACGAGTGCCCAACACACTGGCATGCTCACGATCTTGTTGCGACAGCCGCCGCACCATGAAGCGCGACACTACGTCGTGTGATCGAAGGGATGGAAGTGGGTGCCACCTTGCGCTGTCCATCGCGATGTGGACGGCATTCGTCGGTCAACAAAGTTGAAGGTCGGCGAGAGGGGTGTCGATGAGATGGTATAGCCAGATCTGTGCATCCCTTTGTTGAACCAGTTGTGGCTGACGGACCTGGCGAGCGACGTTGCGATGGGCCTGTCGGTTCCATCCCCCGAGCCGGCGAATAGCCGTCGCCTTTCGTACTGTAGATGTGCTCTGCGCCGATGCATTTCACACCACAACCTCGCGCGTTCGAGTGGCCGCCGACGACAGGCTAGCTCGGTAGATGGAGGAGGCGCATGGATCGAAGCAGGACACCGACCGACGGTGGCGTCGACGGTGGCCGTTGGTCGTCGAGTCCGGACATTTGGAATTTGTGACATATGGAAATAACAATTTTAGCCAATCACATGATTTTCAGAGGTGGAGCAGCCAATCCAAATCTATCGAACCATATCCTGTGACAGTGCAAGTGTCAAACTAGGGTCGGGACACCTCGCGACAGGTTGCAACTGGTGCGCACGAGCTCAAACGGGCATCGGCCACGACCATGACGACGACGTACTACGAAGTCCACCTCGACCATAGTCGAGCGATCGACGGCGTCAAGTTCATCCCGCCAAAGCACTGGGTCATCCACCACGCGTTGACGATCCAAACCGTGGACGGCGCGGCGACGATCGACCACATTGCACCCGGCAACAGGCTCCATGCGATCAACGGGCAGCGAATACATGAAATGCAATTCGCACATGTCGTCGAGCGTCTTCGAAATATCGCTGGACCCTTCACGATCACGATAGAAGATGCCAAGCCGGCCATTTGCCGATGGGGCGACGCACTGATTCAAGTCGACACAAGTGCCTGGACAGTGCAGTTGCCCCACGGACCGATTGTGGCATACCCGTGTTTCGTCTTGGACCTGTTGCGAGAGGCTGCAATTGGAATCACAGCAGGTGATGTGCTGGTCGCAGTGAACGGCATGTCTGTGGTTGCGCTGACCGACCGCTCCGTCTTGCAAACGCTTCACAAGGCAAAACAACAGCCCGTCGTGCAACTCGAATGGGCCAAACACTCACCGCGTGCCCACTCGTACCACCTTCGAAAGTCGCATCGCACAGCATGGGCCGTCATGTCTGAGCTGCATGCCGAGCCCAAACATTCCGCGCGCCGATGTTGTCTCTGCAACACGTCGTTTGGGATCTTTAAGCGCAAGAAGAGCTGCACCGTGTGCGGCCACGTCGTTTGCTCGCCGTGCCAAGCCAAATGTGTCGTTGTTGTGAGTTCCATACCGAGCCACATCAAGTTTCGGTCGTGCCTCCGTTGCGCTCACATGGCGTCGTCGTCTGGCTAGTTGAGAGAGCCACGTGGCGGTCTGCAATCGCTCGTCCAGCGGAAACGTCAACCACATTTGTTTTATTTACATTTGTTTTTTTTGGCTATGGACAGGTCTCACTGCCAACTCGCTCGGTCGATTTCGCCGACGACGTCGTGGGTAATGCGCAATTCGTCGTTGACACTAGCCCCGCTCGAAAATGCGCTACGATGTCGGCGGCACTGGGCCGCTTGGACGGCACCTCTTGAAAGCATTGGACGAGCAGATCCCGGTGGTCCACGGGAATGTCAGAGATGTGGTCCAGGCGCCCGCCTTCCACGACCCACGCGGCAGCTTCTGCGGCGGTGAGGTTCCCGAACGGCCGCGCTTCTTTGAACGTTTCCCACATCAACACGCCAAACGAGTACACGTCCGACTTGAATGAAAACTCGTGCGGCGGCTGAAGACTCTCGGGGGCAAAGTACTTGAGCGCTGCCATGTTGGTTTCGTGTTCAAATGCGCCGTGGTGTGGAGCAGTCGCTGCTGAAAACGGGACGAAGATGTCGAGGTCGACCAGCTTGGCGCGCCGGGTGAGTGTGTGGACCACGCAGTGCGGAGCCGTCACATCTCGAACGACAAACCCTGCTTCGTGGACGTTCAACAGACCGAGGGCAATATCGCACAAGATGCGAACTTTGTCATGGACGGCCAGGAACAGCGACGGGGAATTCAGCGACGAGTAGTGGTGGTTTTGGTGCAGTAAGTCGTCAAGCTTGCGTTCGAGCGGGGTGCATTCGCTGACGATTGCCCACGGCTCGCCCAAGTCTGTCGACGCACCCAGTACCGAAACAATGTGAGGATGGTAACCGAGGACAGTCAGGATGGCAGCATGTCGGTGGAACACGGCCCCAGCTGCCGTCGCAAGTTGATCGTTGTCTGCGTTGTTCCTGGCCTCGCTCGGTTGAGTGGGCGCCGGGACAAGGCGCACGACGACCTACCAAAGAGCCATTCGCGTCAGCACCACACAAACCGACACTCGATATCGAGCGACATTTTCAAACGCCGCGTCCACTCGAAGAATCGAAATTGCAACATACCTCTTGGTCGCGCCAGCGTGCGCGGTAGGACAGCCCCGTTGGCGAGTGCGACGCAAGTGTGCCTAAGCGCAGGTCGTGAAATGGAATGTGGCGGCGCACAACCGGCACGGCATCAGCTTCTTGACGGAGCTCTGCCACTTGGAACGACTCGCCCCGGTTACTTGTGACATGAATATACGATCGCACGACGACAACGCGCGTTCCAACGGCGATCGTGACTGTAAAGACGGCTTGACCGAGCTTGAGTAGGTCGTGGCTGCCCCGGCCCTGGACGTGAAAAACCACCTTGGTTGAGTCGCCGACCCACGTGAAGGTCGCCGTCGCTTTCGACGAAGTGCTGGACGATTTGTCCATGTTGCTTGGGTCAAAGTCTTGGGCGGAGGCGATGTAAAAGCCATCGGGGCCAGCCATCGTCGCGTGCACAACAGCTCCGCGCCGGAGAGGTACATAGCACGGTGGGGTCACCGAGTCGTTTGGGGGCTTTGTCATGTTTTGACCAGAATCGTTGTGGACGACATAGGCCCACAACGTGAGGTCGAACATGGCTTCACGGGACACACAGGGCGGCGCGAACGTTTGGAAAGTGACAGCATCTTCGTTCGCATGCAATGACGGCAGCGACGCCACCGACATTATCTTGCGTTGCGACGGCGGCATTGCATCGTTAGGATCGTCATCGCATTCGCGGGGAACCGGGTCAGGGTTGGCCGGGTGGTTGGCGAGCTGAGCCAAAAGCGGTCGGCTCGAATGTGGTGTCGGCAGTTGAAATGGAGGCGCCTTGGATGAACCCGCAGCCTCGGCGTTGTCCAGTTTCTGAAGCAGCTCGGATGCATTCTTGATATCACGGAGATCAACGACGGCGGAGCCGCGCCGCGGCCGACGAATGGGTTCCACTTGCCCGCGCCATTCGGACGAGTTGTCGACGAGGCTCTCGAGGATGTCCGCTTCGTTTTCGAGGAACGACGAGGACGCTCGGGGCGACGGACCGCGGGCGACGGGTGAATCTGGGGCAGGCGGGACAACGGGAAGACGATTTGCATGGACGGGTTGGCCAACCGCAAGAGCGGCAAGTGCGTCCGCCGCATTCCCAATGTCACCCAAATTGACGACCGTCCCTTCCGCAGGAGACGTGGCGAGGTCGTCTGGAGTCGTCGGTAGATAAGAGTGGTGGTGATGAGATCGTGACGGCTGGCGATGGATGGGGTTGTTTGATCGATCGTGAACTTGCGGCGGGGTCGCACCCAAGTAAAACGACTCGCCTGAGTCATAACTTGGTGGCGATCGGCTCCTCATAAAGGACGCGTCGTCCTGTGGGAGTGGTGCCACGTATCGGGCATTCTCGTCTGTGCGAGATGGGAGCTGTGGAGACGACTGACCTCGTCGAAACGACGGCTTGTCCTGCGGCGAAACCACATACCTACATGGAAGTTGCAACCTTCTTTCGCAGCTACAACGCCATACCGTGTCCTCGAGTTGTCTGGGGTAGATCTCGTCCGTCGATCTGTTCTCTGGTGCATCGACGACGCTCCAACGGGCCGCATGCGATCCAAACTGGCTGACGCTGGAGGTGCATTCGAGTTCGTTCCAGGTGCCGGCAACGAGGCCGTGGACCGGCGACCGTTTTCAAGCATGAGAAGATTTCGTTTCGCGTGCATGCCGCCATTCTTGGACGGTACATCACGAGAGGCGCAGGCATGGCACAGCGAGAACTTATCACCGCCAAGGCCAGGTGCCAGGCGTTGGTGGATACTGCAATGCGAGCAGAAAATTTCTCCACACGCCTGGCAATGGTACTTGCGCTGGAGCAAGTGAAATTTGGACCCACATCCCATGCAGAATCGGCCGCCTTGTCCGTTAGGATTTGACAGGTGGTTGGACTGCGGTAGACTGGATGAGTCGGTGCCGACTGTTGCGGAGGTGGGGCGGACCGGCAAGAGAACGGGTGGCGCCGACGACACCGACCGGACCCGCTCCTTGTCGTGGCTATTTCGGAAATGGTCGTTCAGGAATCGCAGACTGTGCAGGCGCAACGCCATGATTTGCCGTCGGATGTCGAGCGGCACCATCCCGCCAAAGTCGATTTGCAGCAAGTACGTGACTTCCACAACGTTTTCTTCTTTGGTCTCGTTGGCAACGATTCCAGATCGGAAGAGCCGACCGCGGACGGAGTCGTGTGCGGGGCGGCGCTGCGACGGGTGTCCTGGTAACGGCGCGTAATCGATCGAGTGCATCGCACACACCCATCCGCGGGTCATGCGCGTTGTGTCCAGAATGTCTTCCTGGGCCTAACCGACCGCACTCAGTCACATATGAGAGGAACGTGAAGAGTTTGCAGCACTCCTCGCCAACCATTGTGGCAAAGAAACAAACGCCATCCATCACGAAACATGCACGTGGTGCGAATTTTCTCGTTGCTGTACCTCCAAATAGACAAAGTCTCGCGGTGCGACGGACCGACTGGGACTGACCATGGTCATGGTCTTGACGGAAATCGCATGTCGAGGAAACTGCTTTGTTTGCGCTCGGATTGACACGAGCTTTTCGTAATGGCCCAAGTCGCTGTAGAAAGCAGCATGAAAGGCCGGTGCGTTGTCGGGTTCTGTATTCAGGACGCCTGCGATTTGTTCGACTGTGGCTCCGCGGACACGAGTCACGCCGCACATAAACGTCAGCGTGTCGTTCACCGAACACTCCCCGACATACAAATCCACCGGATCGGTCGCTGATGCTGGCTTGATGAGCGTCCACTTGACCGTTGCATTGTCTGTGCGCCGTGCGGCATAGGCGACAATTGTGCAAACTTCGCGCCCCAAGCCCTTGAGCGTCGTGATCTCGCTCTCCGTAAACTAGCATAAATGCAACACATCAATATAGAGCGTGCATGGCATTAGTCGTACATCGCGGCGGGTCGTCATGGCGGCGCAGTTCCAACGAAGCCGGCTGATATGCAGCGCACCCACTCTTGGCTGCGTGTCCGTCGCGTTTGCAATGCCACGATAAATCCTGTGAAACTAAATATCCCATGTATGCATTTGCACAGGAAAAACTTTATTACATTTCTTTCGAAAATATTTCACTTTTCTTCAAATTGTGCGAAAAAAAGTGTTTTATGTAGATTTGAGGAGAAATAGTACGGTGAGTGTCAACAGTTTTGTTCATTTGTGTAGGAGAATGCCACTTAACTGTAAGTCGAAAACCTACAGAACACGTTCTATTGATTCCAAGATAAGGATATATCCATGACAACTATATGCAATAGTTTCTGTGAATCCTGTCGTCACGACTGACCAGCAAGTAATATGCCGCATTGTCGAAAGCCACACCGAGTGAAGCGACTGCCGTTTACTCTCCATACAAAATGGACGAATGATGACAGAACAGGGCTCAGTTCACCAACGTAATTCCATTCAGTCTCCGTGGGTTTAATGAGACGTTTTCATTTATGTTGACAGGTCCCAATTTACAACATTAATCGCCAATTGTTATACATCGGGGACTATTGGGCATATCAGCGATATTACGTTGTCTTTATCAAAAGATATGAGTACGGTTGGCTTTGTTATCCTTCTCTACGAGCAAATGCTTGCAAAATATGCCAGCCTTCCTTCCGATTGTTGTACCAACAAGGCAATATTCCCTTTCGCACAATCAGTATTACAATGCGTGTATTCGTTATTGTACAGGGAATGAAGGCAATCCTTCTCCCACGTTACTCGACAAACACCTGGAATATTCAAATTGTGGTCGCCCAAGAGCATCCTCACAAAAGAGTTTTGGCCAATTGATGACCATACAATCCACGTCCAAGCACATGATATGATACAACTTGATGTCGCTGTCGTACCACAAAAACACTTACTTCTGAAGTAGTACTTTGTTACAGATACTTTGTGTGCTATTTTCCTAATACATGTATGTTATGGTTTTATACTATCGTGATAAACCTAGGCGCACACATCTTCTATAAAATATTGCCTGTTACAGTAAATGATTGTCGATGGGGAAGAAGTGCGTTGCGAGTTTATCCGTTTCTCGTTTACGAAGGCTCTGTCCCAGTGATGGTTTGGTGTACCTGATGTTTTAACACTCGTAGTACATTAAAGTTGGAAGCAAAAATGCACTCGTGAGAAGTCATTGCAGGCAACGATTAAAAGTACTGGTAGAATGTATACCAAGACGATTGAAAATGGTGTTTGCCGTGCGGATCAATGAATTTTCGATGCATTTCGTTTCAGCAGTGGACATAAAGTTTGGAAGAGTGGTATGTGTATGGATTAACCCACCAAAACCACTCGACTACTCCAGATAAGTGCAGTATTATTGGCATCCATCATCTTCGTCCGAAATCGTGAGCATTTGAGACCTCCAAACTTTCCACCATAAGGCAAAATGGGGCGGTCGAAATATGGACACCTGAAAAACCTATCAACTATATGGATTTTTTACCTGTAAGAATATTTTTCCAAAATTGAATCAACTGCCCATACAAAGTTAAAGTGGAAACGCAAACAATCGTCTTGTCCTGGTCGTGACCGACATGACCAGTTGACCTTTGTCAGGATTGTAGAGCGGAAGGGGACGCGTTAGGCCTCCTCAGTTCCTCCTGAAGGGTGCGAATTCGCGACTCAATCTTGAGCCGATTCGCCGGCACGGCCGTGATCGCAAGGAGTTCTGTTGAGTACTTCAACGCGGCGGTGGTATCGCCGGACGCGATGCTGGCCAAGACCAAGTTGTTTAGGATGATACGCTCTCGCTTTTTGTCTTCGACATCACGAGTCAAGCCCAAACACTTGATGTAGTACCGCATAGCGTCCTTGGGCAACTTCTTGTCCAAATAGACAGTCCCGAGGTTGCCCAACGCCCTGGCCTCGACAGGTTTCTCCCCTGCGAAAATTCACGCAACATGGTTCTTCAATCGATCATGTACCCCGAAGAACCGTCGTACCTGCAGCTTTTGCGCAATGTTCGGCCCGTAAAAAGCACGAAATCGCGTCGTCCAAATTGCGTTCCTTGTACAGCGCCATCCCAGACTCGATGTGTGCGATGGCATCTTCCTTGCCTTGAAGAGGAGGCTTTGTTTCGGGCCCTTGCCGATCCACGAAAGCGTTTCGGGTCAAAGGAAGGGATGCTAAAGGAAAGGATGAGGTAGAGCCAACTTGGCCGAGCTCGCTCGTACTTGTCGCCGTACTAACGGTTGCGACGGCAAAGGAGGATCGAGTGTTGGAGTGTGACCAAGTTGAATCACTGTTGTGGTGCACCATTGAATGGTGGCCAAGCGACGACGCTTGAGCTGCAGTCGAAAACGCTTGATCGAACCGACCGTAGTCAGGCAAGTGAGGTGCATCCGCGGCGCTCCGCGGATGCGTCGGGTGGAGGGCACCACCAGTTGATGGCAGGGATGCGGAACTCGATTGAGGAGGTGCGTTGGAAGAAAAGTGGCCGTAGGTGCCGTCCGCAGAAGCCTGAGATGGCACAGAGCCCGGCCCAAAGTGGCCACAGCCCTTGTTGAAACGATCGACGAGGTGCACTTGACCTAGTTGACCGTAGTCGTTAGGCGGCTGCGGGTCGGCTTTGTTTTCAGCACGGACGTTGGAACTCATGCCATAATCGCTGACTTGTCCGGGTGCGTTCGTGAGCAGAGGTGTTTGACCTGTCGTGGTCGCCACAGTTGACGTTGTGGTTTGCATCCCAAATTGCCCGTACACGTCACCAGAGGTGGAGGCAGCCATCGGGGGCGGAGGGCCAAACCGACCGTACTCATCCCCCGCGGCCGTCGTTTGCGACACTGCGGCATACGCAGGAGGAAGCCGACCATAGTCGAGAGAGATGAAGCCACCTTTCTCCGTGTGGTTTGTCTCGAGCGGGTTGAAATGGCCACAGACTACGGAAGCCGATGGTTGCCGATGGGCGGTGCCGTTGTTGGCCTCGATCTGTTGGCGACCCACCGAGGTGGACAATTGTGCAAAAGTGGCATAGGTAGAGGATGCGTCAGGTCGAGGATGCACATCTCCATGCTTCAACGTTGTGTAGTCGCTGGAGGGAGCGACGCCGCTCCCGTGACAGCTACTCGAAGCGCCAAAATGTCCAACGCCGTGGTCCAAGTGTGCAGAGGTCACAAGGTCGTTCGTGCTCAGGTTGCTATACTCGCTGGCGGCGCCATTGAATGCGGACGACGACGAAAACATGAACATGGTTGCTCCCTGGAGATCCTTCAATTTGCGATTGCACTCGATCGAGAGGCGAGACACGATCTGCTCGCAGCAAAAGGTAACTTTAGAGTAGTCCAGACAGAGAAACACATACGGGGGTTCGAAGACGCGCGCTGCTGCCTTCAATGAACGACGCTATCGATGGATACTGCCTGCCGTTGCCGCCGTCTTGGAGACCGTAGCCTTCTCGCGGATTATGCACGATCAAAACGTTCTTGATCTCTTTTCGCCCGTGGTACACTGGATCCGAGTGCACTTTCATGTACGTGAGGGTGAACTTGTCCGGTTGGGTTTCGCTAAAGCGGACGAGGAACGCGCCGTCGTCGGCGTGGGTTGTCAACTTTTCCGCTTCCGCTCTCGAGATTGCCCCATGAAACCACGGCGCAACACCAACTCTGTCCTGGAAGCACTGGACGGCTTTGACGACGCACTTTGAAAATGGACCAAAGCGGACCAAGAACCGTTCCCAGTCGCGCACCATGATTTCGGATTTGAGTTCGATGCAAATGTCCAAGTACACACTTGCCTCCTTCATGGACATCTGAGGCAGTTGTATTCGCGAGCATTGAAAGAGCTTTTGTTTGAACTCATCTCTCGAGACATGGGCCTGAGGATAGATTGTGTCGCGCCACCATTGCATGCCATCGACGTCCACCATCACAACCTGGCCGCGCCGACTTTTTGAAGTGTGCACAAGACATTAAGAGCAGATTAATTGGCTAAAATACGTATCTAATTTCTTAAAATGTAGCCAATCATATGTACATTTTCAAGATATATATGACCAATCAAGTACATCGACCCGTTCCCAGAGTAACTGCTCACCCTATTGCAGCAACACCAAAGATGAAGCGACAACCGTCCAAGATTCCCGCGCCTTCTGAGGACGCGATCATGTCGGAGTCGTCTCTTCGCCTCAGCACGCGATCTCGCATGAGCATCAAGCTCGCTCCGTTGGACAGATCTTTCACGCCGTCGAGCGAGGACGTCGTAGTCCCTTCACCATGTCCCGCATCGGCAATACGATCCAGTCCACCAGGCAAATCGCCGAGCCTCGAACGCAGCACAAACGTGGAATCTCCAAATGCAGAGTCCTCTCCGCGACCATCGATGCTTGTCAAACTGCCCTCATCATACCAAATGAATGCAGGTCGTGAACCTGCCCAATCCATCGCGACCGCACGTTCCACTCAGGCGATTCCAGCCATGGATGTTGGACGACTGGGGCGAGGGCAAGATGAGAACGGTCTGATCATAGGGTACTGGAAGGTCGGTATTTGCGATTGCTTTTCGAATGTATACCCCAACTGCGCCATGTCGTTCGTGTGTCCGTGCATTTCGTTGGCGCAAGTCACCCATCGCATTGGCCTTGTCCGCTTCGTGGTCGTCCTAATCGCGCATGGTGTGTTCTATGGGATTGCCTTCATCTTTTTGGTGTTGTACTCCAAACAATTGCAACGGGCCAAGATCGACGTGAGTGTCAAGAAGGACACGATAGACAAAGCAATGCAAATGCAAGATACTGTGACGATCGTTCTGGACTTGCTCACTTCATCCGCTGCCGCGATGAGCCGCGCTCGAACGTACGCGATCGTGTCCATGGTATTTTTCGGCGCTTCGTCGGTTGTGGTGTGGTTTGTCCGCTCCAACGTCCGGGATGCCTTCCGCATCCCGGGAAACTGCTTGGAAGATGCCGCGTTCAGCATTTGCTGCTCCTGTTGCGCCATCGCCCAAGTGGCGTCACATACTGAATCGTACGAAGTCCACAAATGGCGCATCGAGCCGCGCGACGTGTTGCCAGGCTACGTTCTATGGTCGTTTCAAGTAGCCCCGTCCATGACGACTGAAACCAGCAAGCGCGATGTATCAGCTCGACAAAATTGACTGCTTCATCCGTTCATCGTCATGACATACCTTTTGAGGCATGTGCCGCCATGGAGCCGCCGTGCTCCCTTGTCGTGCACGATCTGTTGCTACCTTCGATGAAACGAAGGCAAAATATTGGAGGTCATTACTCATTGGAAACGCAATCGGATTGGCCAGAAGTCCGTATTGGAGATTCTGATTGGTCCAAAATCCAAGTTGTCCAATTTGATTGGCCATTTTGCAATTGGCAAAATTACTTCGCCACAACAAACTCACCACACACAGACACTTCCTCCGAACATATCCACGTCGCCCGAGATGCTATCCCCGAAGAAAGGACGTTTTCGATAAAAGCGACAAGCACGTCTCAATAAACGACGTGGTCGCGTTGCCCGAGCAGATGATTGCAAGGCGTTCTAATGAGTCTACAGTATCGCACGTCGTGGAAGTATGCTTGGAGGGCGAAAGTTCAACGGTTTAGGACGAACCAACACGTCAAATTGATTTTACCGAGTTATCGCAACCACGATATGGTGGCTAAAGAGCAGGTTAAACTCGTCAAAGACGTTTAAATTCCTTTGGTAAAGCCAGTCATTCGAAGTTCGAAGCCGGGGAAACAAAATTGACATCGTATTTGTCACGGCCTCAGCGGCGCCAGTCCACATTCCGGCAGCAGATCGAGGAGAAGGCGATTCCCGATGAGGGTCCGAGTCCTTCTTCTTGCAGGGTTGCTGCATGCTACATGTGCCCAAATCAAAGTGACGCCTACTCTGACTCTCTTAGCAACACCTGCACCAACACCAATGACAACAGTCACCCCGGAATCGACGACCCCACGGCCAACTCCAAGCCCAACACCAAGCTCAACACCAAGCACGACGAAAACGGATGATGTCACGACTACTCTTTCCCCTACAACAACAGCGCCCGCCACCCCGGAGCCAGGCGACATAACAACAAAGCCGCCGGTCATTACCACAACGACTACATCGACGAAACCCACAACTACCAACACACGCCCGACCACGACGCATTCAACCTCATCCACCGAAGCCCCAACCACCACGACGTCCACGCAACCCCCCACTCCAACGATTATAATTGAGCCCAAAGTCGACACACCGATCACGACGTACATTGCTATTGCAGGTGGAAGCGTGCTTGCCATCGGCCTTCTGGCGTTACTAGTTGTGGTACTTCGTCGTCGTCAAGCCGCGGAAGAAGATGAGGAGAATAACCACCGCAACATTACGCCACGGGAGTACTACTCGGAGCAATCGAGCAATCCGCACCATAATCACACTGGTGGGTCGGTGACATCCCGCAAGCATCTCGGATCGGCTCAAGACACCACGTCGACGCCAAGCACCATGCCCCAATCCGTGGATTACTTGGGTGCGTCGTCGCGGGTGTCCAATCCCCGCTCCGGTAACAACGCGCAGCACTCTCGGTCTTCCAACTCGCATACCGGCGGCCACCCCCTCGGTCAGTACTCGACGACTGGCGAGGTGAACGAAATCGCTGGCTACGACATCCGATTCGACAAATCCATGTCCAATTTCCGCGTCGCCAACGACGAAATCATCATGGGCGACTTGGTCGCGTCCGGAGGATTTGGCGTCATCTACCGCGGTGTGTTTGCCGGCGAGGAAATTGCGATCAAGAAATGTTTGCCCGACAAAGTCAACAACCACGCAGCGATGGAGTCGTTTATGCTCGAGATCAAGCTCATGTCGAAGCTAGACCATCCCAATATCGTCCGCTTCGTCGGCGTCGCATGGACGACGTTGGTGCAGCTCAAGATGCTGACGGAGTACATGCCCCGCGGCAACGTTCGCATGCTCCTACAGGACGTCAAGAAGAACGGCCGGTCCCTGCCGTGGGTGGTTTCCAGTGCCACCCGCGACATGCCGTCCAGGTTGCGCATCGCGGCCAATGTTGCCGAAGCCCTTGTCTACCTCCATTTAAACGACCCGCCGATCATCCATCGCGACCTCAAGAGCAGCAACGTTCTCTTGAGCGAAGACTTTGAAGCAAAACTCACGGATTTTGGAACGAGTCGAGAACTGTCGGACGAGCATACGATGACGGCAGAGATCGGAACGCTGGCGTGGATTGCGCCAGAGATCATGCTTGGCGGTCACTACACCGAACGCGCCGACATCTACTCGTTCGGAGTCATCCTCAACGAATTGGACCTGTGCGACCTTCCATACTCGAACGTGACCGACGCCCGCGGTGCCGCGATTAGCCACACCCGACTGGGTGTACTCGTCGCTCAAGGGAAAGTAGCACCTCAGTTTTCACCTCAGTGCCCGCCATGGGTACAGCAAATGGGAGGAGAATGTCTCCGCTTCGATCCGACCCAACGACCCACGGCCATGCAAGTGGCATACCGTCTGAGGCGCTCCATCGCTGATGCCAAGTAGTAGGGAGCGTCATCGATTTGTTAGATAGAAATACTGAAGCCCCTTCTCCTTGACGCCGCCTTCTCCCGCCGCGCTCAACGCCGCTACACAGATAACGCAAGAGCGCAGGTCCACCATGCGTACAAGACCGCTGACACGGCGCGCATGCGATGTCTGTCACTAGGCGTGCCAAAGATAAGTATGTTACCGAAATTAGTGTATGCGCCTGCCCACGCAGATAACTTGAAATACTGTGCGGTACAGGACAACAGCGCATGCGTGGTGGCCCCATGGCGTGAATTTGGGTGCGGTCGGTATCTCCCATCAACATGGAGCTGGTGCACGTGCTGGCAGTTTTTCGCCATGGAGATCGGTCACCGATCACGGGCACGGTTGGGACCAACCTCACGATGAGCGAGGACGAAACCCAATACTGGACAACCGAGCTTGCTTCGGAAGCAACTTGCCTCCGCCTGAATGAAAGGGTCAGAGTGCAAAGTTCTGGACCGCTGGCCGGCGGTGTATGGCCGAGAGGCCATCTCACAGAGAGAGGTGTCAACGACATGACCCGTCTGGGAGTTGAATTTCGCAAACGATATGCGGCGCTCGTGCCTCGAGATCACGACCCTCACACCCTCATCTACGCATGTTCGACCAACATCAGTCGCACCATTCTGTCTGCGAAAAGCTTCCTCTCTGGCTTTTGCGGCGGTGATAGATTGTCCTCCGACAACCCCCTTGTCTTGCATACTGTGGAGCCGAAAGACCTGACTCCCGTGCTCACTGGCCAAGAGTATCGCCTCCGAGCACAACAGCTTCGACAACTTGCATTGGCCACACTTCACGGCTACGCAGCTTTGGAAGTTGCAGTGAAACAGGTCATTGGAATCCGTGGGGCAGTCAATTGGGCTTCTTGTACGTCTCGCAAAACACTGCCTACGTCGCTAACTCGTCCTGGTGTAGTGCGAGAAGTGCTCGATTGCCGCCACACTCACGAACTCCCGTTTCCAGAGGGAATTTCTAGCGCCATGTACGATGCGATTACTCGGCACGCAGCATGGGAATGGTACATGTTCTACAGTGACCCTCAAGGGGGCCAACGAGGATTCATCCAAGCAATGCGAAACTTCCATGATTTGCTTCGTGATGCCATCCTGGTACGAGTGGATGTTGCGAGGAGGCCCTCATGCTGATCGGATGTAGACGACACCTCAGGGACGCCGATTTACTCTCGTATGCGCTCACGACAATTCTCTTGTTGCCCTCGTGTGTGCGCTGCAGCTTCATCATTCGAGTGGGTTTGTACCACCGCCGTACGGGTCGACCTTGGTCGTGGAGATCTATCAGGACAAGTCGAACGGAACCCACCACGTCAATGTTCAATGGGACGGCAAGGCAATGCGATTCCCACAGCAAGAGACATCGCTTGTGCCCATTGAAGTTCTCCATGCAGCCGTCGCATCCTTCATCCACGCCACAACGGCGTCCGCGCCGTCAACATCTTCCATGTAACTGTTTTAACCGTAAAGGCAATTTGATATCCGGTTACAAGAATTATCCGGCGAGATTGCTTGTTTAAACTCGGCTATTGTGGTGGCGGCGCTCTCAACACGGCCGCCGCCAACATGGAGATGACGAAGAACGGTAGGCCGGAGTCTCGTCCGAAAGATGGAAATCGGGGACGTGAAGGGAGCTCTTGTGCACCTATTTCAAATCGTGATGGAAGCGGACGAGGCGACGATAGCCGGGCACGCCGTAGCTCCAGAGAGCGTGAGCGTTCGCGTTCTCGAGGACGAACATCAGCTTCGAGCCAGCAGGATGGACGCCATGGTGACAGAAGAGGCATAAATCGCTCCTTGGATCGATCCCATCGAACTCAGCGGAGTCAAGAGAGGTCCACACTTTCAAACCGACGACGCCACGAGAGTCCCCCTAGACGGAATTCCAGTCCGCATCGCAGGCATTCACCTAGACGTGGCACAACTTCTCCAAGGCGGCATAATAGCCCCTCGCGACGTGATTCCAGCCCGACCCGCAGGAACGTCAGTCCTCACAGACGAAACCACAGTCCACAACGGCAACGCTCTCCATGGGGACGAGACAAGCGGTCTCCGCCTCGTCCAAGTCCCCGAAATGAAAACCTTGCTCCGCGCTCCGGCGACAACAGCGCCCTCGATCGCCTGCAGAAGAGTCCAGATCCCTCCAGAGGTTCCATCCCTGCGAAACTCCAATCGACCATCTCGTCCTTCGCTCCGACGTCCCGGGAGGCTGATCGTTGTGCATCCTTCCAAGACAAGTCAAGTGAGTTAACACATGACGTGGTCTCCAAAACTGAATATCCATCAGCTCAGAGTGAGGTACATTGCCGCGACGGTCAGGACGCCACGGGCACTCTCGACAAGTTGACGAGCCGATGTCGGTCTGCCGACGACCGGCACACATCGGCAGAAAACGGCGCGTCCGCCCGTGTCGAGGAAACGCACAACCCATCAAGGGATGACATATCCAGTGCATCCAAAGCACGGCAAAGTGCTCTGAATGAACACTGGAAGAAGTCGTCGAAGAACGATTCCAAGGAGTGCAAGGATGGATCCAAGCGCCAGGAAGCGTCGAGTCATGGGACGGAGAAGTCGGTCAAGGAGCGCGTTCGCTTTGCAGAAGACTTGGTCGACCAACCGCGCAAGTCAAGATGGTCGTCTACTGTGCCCAAGGACTCGGACGAAGTGCGAAAAGAAGATCGCAAGGATAAACCCCGACTCCATGGCGTCGTCGACGGTGGCGACTTGATCACTGACACAGGCATCGAACCTCTTGCGAAAAAGCAGCGGCTCAAGAAAGAAGAGAAACCTGCGCGGCCACCCCGACCTGTGTACACCGACCCGATGACCGAGGTGTGGGCACAGAGCTGGACCAATGTGTGGCAAAAGCATCGCGAAGCCAACCGAATGGAGACCAAGTGCCTGGTTACAAAGGGCGATGTCAGCATTGCGTCGTTCATGGTGTCTCTCGCCGAATCGGAGCTCGCGTTGATCGGCCAACGCATCCAAGCCCATGAGGCACGGCTGCAACAACGCGAGCGAGATGGCATCGTCGATGACGACTTGACCGTCCTCCCACCGTCACCGCCCGATGATGAAACGTAACGAAACAACGATTGAATTTGAAACGGTCGTAACTTGCGTGAAACTGTCTCGACACATCGCGTGAACCAAGCCTCGTGTATCTTGCGAAACGACGCGTCATGGGCAAGCGCCCTAGCCAGCCCGTGTGGACCGCGGCCCAGGTCGCGCTCGTGTACGATAACTATGGGTACGATGTCGAGCCTGGCCCGTCATCGCCGCCGCGGTCGTCGTCACCGTCGTGGGGAGTGTTATTCAACCTCACGAATGCCATCGCTGGCGCAAGTATTATCTACATCCCGCACGCCATGGCGGAGGGAGGGTTCCTGCCGGTGTTGGGCCTACTGTTTCTGTGTGGGGGCCTCACGCTGTACGCGATGAACATCCTTGTTATCTTGGGCCACCATCACCACGCCCGATCCTTCGAAGACCTTGCCCAGCTTGCGTTTGGCGTGCCAGGATATTTGGCCGTGTGCTTCTTCCAATTCACGTTTTCGTTTGGCGCAAACTGCTCGTACTTGCTCGTGATAGCAGACACGTTGCCCGTCGTACTGGGTACGATCCGTGACTCAACGATTGCGTTCATCTTGCGGTCTTAGGTCGCCTCTGCAAAATGCACTTTGCCCATGGCGAGCCCGTCCCAAGCTCTCAAACGCCATGGTATCTTCGACTCGCGACTGACCGCTACATTTGCGTTACGTTCGTGGTATGAACGACGAAGCGCGCCGTTCGTTTCCGCTCACCACCCGACTGCTTTTCAGCTTTTGACCCGACTTCACGTGTGTAGACGTTCGTCGTGCTGTTGCCAATTTGCATTCATCGCAGCTTTGCCAGCTTGGAAAAGTTTGCCGGTCTGTCTGTCGTTAGCGTCGTCTTTTGCACCGGAGTCGTCCTCTTTGAGTGCGTCTTCCACAAAGACGAGTACGTGGCCGACTCGCGCGGGTTCATGTACGACTACATCGAAGTCCACACCGACATCTTCCCTGCCCTCGGAACGATCGCATTTGCATACGTCTGCCAGCACCAAACGTTCCTCGTGTACAACACGATGTTTCCTGCCACGCCGCGGGCGTTCGCGGACGTGTCCCGCATTGGGGTCGCCGTGTCGGTCGTCCTTATCTGCGCCCTGAGCATTCCAGGGTACTTGCTGTTCCTGCATGCGACGCGCAGCGACATTTTCCTCAACTTCACCGACCTCTCGTACGTGCGGCACCCAGTCCTTCATCGTCTGGGCAACGTCGCGGTGTGTGCTGAACGAGATGTTTTCCCGTAGAGACAAGCTCATTCAAGTGTGCCGCCTTCTCACCGCTGTCAACATGATCCTGACGTATCCGCAGGAGGTACGACGTGGATGGAACGAGGCGCGTGGCCCATGCTGACCGTGTCAACACAGTTTATGGTGGCGCGTCACACGGTCCAGCGCCTTGTCGACCTGCGCCATGCCCGTCGGAGTGTTGTGGACCTGTTCCAAGAGCAAGCAAAACCGATCAACCGACGGGCGGCATGGCACGACCCTATCGACGAGGACCTCCCGACGCCGTCGCCATTACCGCCGTCGTCCGAGCTATCGACACACGCGCATGTGCTCGTCACGCTGTTCCTCTTGGCGTCGACGCTGCTAATTTCAATAGCGGATCGCCGCCTCGGTGACGTGACGAGCCTCACAGGATCCTTCAGTGCCGTCGCGCTCGCGTTTGTCCTTCCCGCGGCGTGCCACCTCAAGCTCCAGGTGCCCATCAAAGAACGTGGTCAATGGAAAGACCGCATCTTCCCCTGGTTCACCATCACGTTCGGCACAATCGTGTTCTTTGTCAGCACCACCACGACCATCCTCGCCATTCACCGACGACACACGAGCGCATTGCCCTAGATGCCACAACAATGTCCATCGAGCGGACATACTGGAGAGAACCCATAACATAACAAATCCTTCCTTGCCTCGTTGAGTCGCGCATGCTGCTGTCAGAACAGCCATGAGCTTGCGGCAGCAAGTGTTCAGGCATCAACGACATCGACCCAGTATCACGCTGGCACACAATTCGTGGCCACCTGTGAAAGCTCGCAAGTGGGACACGAGCGTGTCCTGCTCCAGTCGCCAAGACGCAAGGCTTCGACGTATCATTGTGGCTTAACTTACGTGACGATTCGTTGCCGGAATTGATTCAACAACGCAGAGAGGTCGCTTGCATGACCGAACACGCGTCGAGTCATGCGTATCCATACGCTTTGCCGCGCGGAGAAGACGCCCGCGACGGTGCCTTGCCATGGCGTTGAGAATAGATCAGGAACTTCAAGCTCCTTCATGTGGTCTTGGGCGCCGCTCGAGTGGTCGAACTGGAACCACGTGTCCGTAGCGTCTGTCCCAATCACGTCGGCAAGCACGCGATGGCCACCTGGATGCAAGTACAGGAACGCGCCAATGTCGTACACACGGCCGTTTACTACGATGCAGTTCGGCTGGCCCTGAGCAGCGAGAAAACGCAAACGTTCCAATGGACGTGTAATGCGATGTGTAAAATAGTACTTGCGCCAACTCAACCCACATGGCGCGTGGAACCGGCGACCGTCTTCATGCATGTCGCGACGAAAAACGAGTTTCCACAGCACAGCGTTCGATTCGCCCGTCAACTCATGCCAGGACGAGCACACGACGGAGGCTGCGGCGAGGCTTTGAGCATCCAGGTAGCTCAAGATTTCGTTCGAGACCTAGGTTAGATGTCCATGTTAATCCCACGCGACCAGAACGGAGGCGAACGAGTACCTCTGATGGAATGATGGTGAGTGTGTGGTGCAGCTTTCGCCGCTGTTGACACTTTGCATGCACCATACTCACATAGGGGCCCATCGATGGCGGGGTCAATTTTACAGACGACGTGCTCATCGTCGTTTTCATTGAAGGCTGCGTGCAGAGGAATCCAAAGAGGAACAGACACAGGAAGAGGAACGCCGACGAAAAGCGATATCCAGACGAGTCGTTCACGTCCTGATATTCCAAGGACGACACGTACACGCGTGTCGCTGCCACCGTCGGGAGCAACATCACGACAAGGAATGCAGTCGCCATTGCCGTCCGTCGCGCGATTGCGCTTTTTCAGATCTGGGCAACGAACGACGAAACCGAGGAAGGTTCTACTAGTACCAGTAGCTTTCACCCCCGTCAGTGTTTAAGTAACGTCACAGTTGTATAGTCAAATTAAGTTGTTATCTAGTAGCAGGGCGAAGTACTAGTTCGAAGCGGACGTTGAAGTTGGAAGGGAAATCCGGTTATTTGAATCATTATCCGGGGATCCCTTCATTCATTGCGCCGTCGATATCCGAATGGCTTGCTTGGGGTGGAAGGAGGTGGAACATGGGTAGGGCCTCACGTGAGCACTTTAGTTCCGGCGAAATCGACCTTGTGGCGACCTCCGACAAGCTCTCTAGACAGAGCCTGCGACCAGAAGGTGCACGCAAGGATGTGCACGCAAAAGGTTAAATGAGCTCGTTAATTGCGTGGCGGTTCTGCCGTGGTGAGCTGGTGTCGCGCCCATGGCGATTCGAATGACGCGAATGACGCATATAAACACACATGGATGCAATGTGAACAACGTTCGCTGGTGAAATCGTCCCATGATGGACACGGTGCACTCTTGAGAGCTCTGGACGGTAGTGCTGGAGCGAATTGGCCTTGATTGACAACACACACTCGACGACATGCGCCATGGCGTCTTGGAACCACCACTTCCACTTCCACAATGCGACGGGCAAGTGCACTCGTCGCTCAACTTGACTTAATCGGGTGTAGTGCTCCAGCGCTTTCCTCCGATCCTGTGGCACGCCGTAGCCCATTTCGTACATGTATCCCACAGTGAAGAGCGCCGGCGAGACAAACACATAGGCCGTGGTGGACGATAGAAACTTGGTCTGCGACACCAAGTCGGAGTACAGGGCCATGGCTTCCGCGTAGTCGGCATTGGCGTACGACGCAAGTGCCAGTTCAAGTTGGGCGTAGGCCGAGCCTTGGCGCGCAGCATGCCGTAGCAGCCACCGCGAGACGTCGACATCTAGCCACAGATTCGGAAGCCGTCAGTGGAACAACAAAATCTACCAGAACATCGTACTTGGCTCAGTGACGTAACCCCGTTGAATCAAGAAGGCTGCGTTCGTTTGGGCAACTTCGCTTCCTTCTTCCGCCGCCAGTCGATACAGGTAGTATGCCGCCGTGTAGTCTCTGGTTTGAAACTTGGCCAGCGCCGTATCCATAAGTGGCACAGCGACGCTCTCCGCCACACGTTTGTAGAGCGCCACGACCGCCGTACATTTCGCCTCAAATGGTGTTGTGATTTCATTCGACCGCTCCATGATTTCGGCGAACTTGAAGGTTGCGAGAACGTGGCCAGACTTGGAAGCCGCTTCAAAGTACCGCCGAGACTGCTGAGGGGCAATCGCAGTCAGCAGCGTTGCAGCGTAGTAGATGGAATTCAAGTGACCTAACTTCGACGCCGCTTGAAAGTAGTGCAATGCGAGGCGGCCGTCATACATGCCAGCTTCAAGGTTGAGCAGTCCCAGGCCATGCAAAGCCTCCGCGTCATTTTCTGGTGCCATGAGAAAAAAGTCTCGCGCTCGAGTCGTGTTGATGGGTACCCCCCACCCGTGCGAGTGCAGACGGCCCAGCTGGGCTGCTGCGGCGAGGTGGCCCCATTCGAACGCTTGATGCAGTAGCTTTCGCACAAACTTATAGTCGGGTGGTGGTGTCTGTTGGGCAAGCAATAGCTTGGCGATGCGGTGCAGAGTCGCACCGTTCCTCGTCTTAGTTGCAGCAGAAGCGAGGAAGAGCAGCTTGTCGAAATCTTGTCTTGTCGAATGCGCTGAGGGTGCGTCTAGAAGCTCAGGCAACCGTGGATACGTCGGGATGTGGGAGTGGATGTCATGGGTCGACGCTGCAATCGACGCGGCTCGCTTGTAGTAGACCAGAGCGTGAGCACATGACCGCGGGACTCCTTGACTAAACATTGCGCGGTAGCCAAGAGATTTGGACGCGGGTCCGTGGCCAGCTGTGGAGGCAAAGTGGTCATACACAACAGCCGTAGCTGTGCTTTGTTTCACTTCTGGATGCGGGAACCCGACGGCATGCATGAGTGCGAGGAGGTGTTGGGCACTGGGGTTTCCGAGCCGGGCACTGCGTAGGATGTAGTCGACGCTACCTTCTCCAGGAAAAGAGAGCTCACCGAGGGCAAAGAGGGCGTCGCCAGTCGCTGCCCAGTCGCCCATGGTCACCACGGCAGCGTACAACGCTGTGGCATTCGCGATGTCCACATTTCTGAAGTACGATTAATTTCCTTGTTGGCTTTTCAATGGGTAGATTTACCTTTGGGCGTGTGCATCGTGAAGCAATGCAACTGCAGCTGGATTGCTCGGAAGGTTCCATGCTCTCACAGAGGCCAGAACTGCCACAAGCCGCAGGGCCATCGACACCATGGAGGACTGACAGGGACGATGCAGGGAGCTAGAGCCCAAAGGGAAAGCGGCAGAGGATCATTCCGGCGGCTCTGCCACAGTCGCGTCCTGTCAATCGTTGCTCCAACAACGAGAGCTCTAGCACTCGGTGGTCAGCCAACGGCCCAACGCGACAACGGTCTGGATATCTATTTATATCCTGCGATTCCTGTAAATTGTGAGTATTTCAAATTCGTCGTTGGACGAGAAATATTTCCACGCGATGGAAGATCTTGAGAAATGCCCCGTTGGACGAATCCAGTGAAATATTTTGAGAAAATCTATTTTAGTCTACGTAACATTGGTCATCAATTTTGAGTGGTCCTTCCATGTATTTTATACCATATCGCATAGTTTTTTTCTCATGTCGTTGAATTGAGTGTTGGTCCGCTTATTTGTTCTGACGGATTTATGGACGGTCTAATTTTATATTCATAGACATACAAGGTCCAGCATGTTGTACATACACTTGAACAAAAAAATTCCCATAATTCGTGAGACACGTCCACAACACATATCATTGCGCAAATTGCCCGCGTCGACCAAGATGGCAAGCGAACCAACATGGGTCGTCGTGTTGTCCAGCCTCCGCGCGACGGACCTGCCGATTGCCGATCCGTCCTTTATGGGAGGAAGCAGCGATCCGTACCTTACCTTTATGTGCTTGGAACAAGTCAAGGCAACGTCATGCTTGCCATCGACTCTCAACCCGGTGTGGGTCGAAGAGAAGTTCCAGTTTGAATTGCGAGGGAACCGCTTGAACGAGTCGACATCTCTCGTCGTTAAGGTGTGGGACAGTGATGTGGTGTCGGCAGATGACTTGATCGGGTCGGTTGAGATCCCTTTGGGGTCCATTCAACGAGGCCGCCAACCGAACGCCGACGTGTCGACGTTTCCAATCGTGCTTCAACCCGAATTCACCAAACAACGGGTATCTCCGCAGCTCCATGTGAAGATTGATATCCTGTCGGAAGCTGAATCTTTGGACGAGATCACGCACGAAGTGTGGGAGAACGAGCGAGCCAGCCGCGGCCTTACAGGCACCACCTGGAGCAAAGCGAACCTTCAAGCTAACGAACGCAAGCACTGGAGCACGGACAATGGTCGCATCTCATCCGACAAATTCGACGCGATCACACCGGCGGTGCCGAAAGGGTACTCTGCAGGCTCGTGGCACTACGTAAAGGCCCTGGGCGACGACGATGGGTGGGTGTACGCGACTTCATTCAACGGACCATGGTACAAAAAGCAAGGCATGCGCACGACGGTGCGGCGGCGACGGTGGCTGAACTCGTTCGTCAAGGAGCCCGAGATGCAGGAAAATGAGTTTTAAGAGAGTCCCACAACAGGCAGTCGGGTCTCGACCCTTGTACGACCCACTTCATCCTATCTGAGCGGGTTGTTCGTCCGTCGATGATGGTTCCTTCTTCTATCCCTTCATCGAGGAGAGCCATCCAAGGGCGTCAAAACCACCAACGCCTGAGATCCCGAGCTCGGGTCGCTCTTGTGTTTCAGTGGCTGCTAACAGGAGCGACCCCCACCACGTAAACAAGTGCCCCGTGCAATCGATTGAATAGTAACTGTTCAGTGGAGCACGACCGGGCTGGCTGTACGAACCGAGACCTCTACAGTGCACTCTTTTCTGCTCATCACCTTCCAGCGACCAGACAAGTACAACCACCGTGAGCCCAGGATCTTCGACGACGGAGATTCCCTCTCTTTGCCCTCCTGTGCTTGCCGTGGTCGGCCTCCCTCTTCCCCAACTGTTGATTCCACAGACGACCATGGCCACATGTTTTGCGCCTGGTGCACGTGACAAGGCCAACGATCGACTCCCTTGCTCCTCTTTCGCGTCGTAAGGTTGACCATAGAGAGAGCGCTCGTCGCACCAGGCCGTCGGCGACTTAAGCCAGAGAAGATTTTTGTCCATTGTGTTCTCTGGACTGACCAATCACAAGCGTCGTCAGCTCACTTCATTTCGCAAGTGCCCATCGAGACACAAAGGCGGGATCATGGGCGTCGTGACCAGCATATGCTGCGCGCCGGAAGACGACAGCCAACACCTCTTCCGCCGCAAACGTCCAGGTACGCCCCACCGAAGACACAGCGCCCCAGTATCCTGACGCGGTCATGCGCACGTAGCCTTGGACAAGAACGCTCGTGTGATTCGCATCGTGCTCGAGAAAGCGACCGACTTGCCCGCTTCCGACTTGGAAGTCATGGGTGGCAAGAGCGACCCGTATGTGTCGTTCCAGTTTGGCAAGCAACGCCGACGCACCGATGTCATCGACAACACCCTGAACCCTGTGTGGAAGCACCAGGAGTACGAGTTCATCGTGTCCAACGCGGACGTCGCGCAACATAAGGTGCTTAAGATTCGCGTGATGGACCACGACGTGTTGTCGGCGGACGATCTCCTTGGCGACCTCGAGTTTGACATGACCAACTGGACTGGCGCCACCCGCCTCGCCGACGCCGCGCTCAAGCCGTACGACCTCCGCGTGCCGCCAGCGTTTGACGCCCAAAACGTCAAGGCGCAGCTGCACATGTCGATTTGTTTCCTCACGCCATGGGAAGCTGCAGCCCGCATCACGCAAGAGATCTGGGAGAACGAGCGGTGGCTCACAACCACACAATCATGGTCCAAGAACTATTTGACGTACGGCGACAAGCACGCGTGGACATCAAGCAACGGTAAGCAGGGCGGCCCGAGCTTCAAGGATGCGCTGCCCGACATCCCGGATGGTTACGTCCAGGCAGGCCAGTGGCAATACGACGTTTCCCATGGCGACGCGAACGGATGGGTGTACGCGAACACGTTCTCCGGCCCGTGGCGCAAGGAAAAAGGAGCACTGCATCGCGTGCGCCGCCGCTTGTGGGTAAACCACTACGACCGTTGCCCGGAGCATGTCGCCCCCGCTGCGTTTTAGTCGATAAGCTAATGTGACGTGGTGGTGTCGGTATCGTTTCGACGCGTCCTGGTCATGGCCATGTGCCTATCGCAACTCACTGGTGTTCCGTCCACGTCAGCGCCGATTGAATGTCGGTGGAGCGACACAGAATACGCGCATGGACGACAGGTTATGGGCGAAAATGACCACACGACTACAACACGGACGCGACTTCGACGTCCTTTTCATAGTCTTCAAACCCGAGCACTTTGTCGGCAAATGCGGCCGACGTCAGCGACATTGTCGTCTCGAGCATATCTGCTTCGTCTCCAAGCAGAGCCCGCAAACAAGACGAGAGCTCCTCCTCTGACATGGGCTCACCCTGTCCAAGGGCATGAAATGGGACGATTCCACCACACACCACACGTACCATCGTCAAGAGCTTGGCCTTCAAGTCAGCCCACTTCAACGACGGACCCCGGAGCCCACTCAAGATGTGGAACGCGTCCTCGATCTGCTTTTTCCCAATTCCGCACACTGGGCGATGGTTTGTGTAAAGCTTGACAAACGCGGCCAAGTCGACGGCGTCGACCGTCTTGGTCGTCTCTGTGAAGCAACTGTACTTGACTTCGCTGCACATGTTTTGAATCTCAAGCTCCGTCGGGTAAAACCCCAACGCGCGCATGACGTGGGGAATCTCAAGCAGGGGAATGCGGTGCGAGATGTCGCGCGCCGCCGTCGCGCTCTCGCCTTGTGTGCGCAATTGAGCAAAATAAAAGTAGTCGACGATCTCGCTGAAAAACTTGCCGTGGGCGCCGCCCTCGAGCAGCGACGTGTACGGTTCCATGTCGTGCCCACCCTGCGCCTCCAGCGCGTCCAGGGCGCGGGGATTTATTTCCCACAAGTTGACAATCATGTCATTGCCCCCGGCGGTGACGAAGAACTTGCCGTCGAAAGTCACGGCCACGTTCGAGATACGTCCGGGGTGCGCGATCAGCCCCATCGATTTGTGGGGATTCCCATCCAGCGGCAGCTTGAGTAACCCCACAACCTACAAGCACACGCAAGAAAAGCCCGTCAGAGTATTTTCCACACCCATGGGGGCGTGCCTTGTCATGGGTGCTGTACGCGCAATATCGGCCACTCGATTTGTCATGGGCGCTTTTGTCCGCCGGAATCGCCAGTACTCGATTCAATGGCCCGCCATACGTTGGACTGAGTGTGGTTTTTCGACACGTCTTGTTGTTGGCGTTCCATTGCTTGAACTTGTACTCGTCATTGGCGACAACGACAAGGTCTTCGTGCACGCCTGCCATGTCAGGATGCCAAAAGCACGTGGTGGGGGTCGCCGACTGCTCAATCTTTTGCGGTGGTACGTTCAAAATAATGCCGTCCATGACGCTCGACCGCGGGAGACTGTAGTCAACCAGCATGCGGTCCTCCCCGACCGTCACGAGCAGCGCTTGCTGGTCCGGCGACATCCCAAACTCGAGCCCCGTGATCGGTTTCGTGTGGCTTTTGCACCGACCAATGTACGACCACATGTCCGACGCGTCGAGATCGTCCGCGTCTGTCGCAGCCATCGCCTTGCTACGCCACAAGTACAAGTAGTTGCTGGCGTCGATGGCGGCGACAAATGACCCGTCCGCCGCTATCTTGACGTCGACAATCGGGTTCTACGACGGCTTCAAGGTCATTTTCCGACAGCATTCCATCACCTAGGTGAGAGTGACATTACTCTGGCTTGACGGAACGTTGCGACGTCCTCCAGAGTCGACGCATGCACGATCTTGATTGTGCCGTTCGTGAACCCGACCAAGAGATGTTTGCCCGACGGATGATACGTCAAGCACTGAGGGCGCAACTTGTCGGAGTCGAAGCTGCGCAGCATGACGAGGCGCTTCCCGACGTAATCCCACAGTTGAATCGTGCCAGAGTAGCAGCTCACCGCGATGTGGCTGGTTGCAGGGTGCGCCGCAAGGCCGTGGATCTCGTCATTGATGCCTTGCATGAGGAGCGTGCCACGGCGCTTCTCAACATCGTATTCATCGTGGATGCTGGGGGTAATGCCCAGGATGAAAGCGTCTACAAGCGTCCAATGCGTGAATCTCCCTCCATCGAACATCAACGAGGCCAGGTGCATGTCGGTCCATTCGTTTGGAAGCGACTTGGCATTCAGATGGACGTACTGGACGTAGAAACGATAAACTCTGGAACCGTGAAGGCATCCGCCGACGCGGGCGTGGCGTCGACGTTGGCGAACGAGACGGCCATGACGGGTCCAGCGCACATGTCTTCGTACCATGCCACAAGGCGAAAGTCAAAGTCGTAGAATCGAACGGCGCCGTCGGCACATCCCATGACCAAGTACCCATCCATGTCAGCTAAAAAATTGATCGCCATCGGTTTGTCGTGGCCGGTCATTCGCACGATCTTGGTTGCTTTCTTGTCGGCGTGGACGAGTGTGGATGCGTTCGTTTTCACGGGCGCCGCGTCCCAAAGAATCAAGTCGCCATCGACGGTCGCCGTGATGGCTTGCGACGAGTCGGGCACAAACAGCGACTGCGTGAAGGCGCCGATGGTTTGCTTAAAGTCCTTTTGAGACAGAGGTGGCGAATAGAACTGGAGTTGATGCGCTGCCCAGTTCCAAAAGATCACGCGCTGGGCACCGTTTGTCATAATCTCACGGATATCGTACGTGTTGAATCGTACGCACGTCTGGACGTCCTCCGTCGTCACCGCTACGAAGGAATATCTGGTTCACTTGCGCATCCACGAAGGCGACGTACCTGCGACGTAGAGCGCATCGTCGCGTGCTACGGTCCACTCCCACAGCTTGATCTCTTGGGCGTGCTCTTTCCTGTTGCTTTTGTCGGTGGCAATTGACAATGTCACGATGAACATGGCGTCAGGCGACAGGTCGAGGCACTGGACTCCGTCGACATGGGGATTAAAGATGGTTTTAATCGGATTGCCGGTCGTGGCGTCCCACACGACAAGCATCGAGTCTTGCCCTTTGTCAGCCGTCACAATCCATCGCTTGTCTTCGCTGACGGTACAGCACGATATTGGGTTGCAGTGGCCTTGTAGAAGTTTCTGCGTTCGGTTGGCGTAGTTGTAGATTACACCCGTGTGGCCGGCCGTGTAGAAGACGGCGTGGACCGTGTCGTCCGATAGACTGTGGACCCCACCGACAATGTCTTTGTTAAAGCCGAACGACCAAGACAGACTCAGCGCATTGCTGCCGCTGCCTGGCCCGTCCATGGTAATGTAGTGGTCGTTACAAAACTCCAAACGACGCGTCCGGATATTTTCCGGTTAATTGGCACTTCGTGCTGAATTAGGTGTCTGCGTTATTCGCTTCTTCCTCGCAAACCCAACGACGCCGCCGAAAGGTTGCAGAGTGGAGATTCCATGGTCCCTCCATGGACACGGCGTACGCCCATCCGTCGCCATCGCCGTAGTCTTGGTCAACTCGCCATCCTGCATGAACTGCGTGATCGCCAGCCTCATCCACGACTTCCCACTCGCCGTCGGTGTCAAGTCGTTGCTGGTACTCCCATCGACTGCGCTCGTCTGGTGTTTGGTTTGTCGATGGGCAAATGGATTCGAAGGAAAGCCAAATGTGGCACTTGGCTTGGCGCTGTGGAATTTGTGGGGACAGGCGATACGGTGTCTCGCAACATGACTCGACTGCGTCCACGTCAATTAGCGTCGATGCAAGGACAGAGTCGCCGTTGAGGTAATCATGAATCGTCACGTACAGGCGCAAGGCTTTGGCTTGCGTCACACTAAAGTCAAACACTGCTGGAGGCGACCATGTCGGGTTGAGTGTTCGTGGCACCGCCGCGCTCGTGTGTTCAATGTTTTCTTCATTGTCGTCGTTGACATAGAGTGTAAAGACAACGTACGGATCGCGCTTGCCCCCACCCCACTTGTGCGTGTCATTTCCGTCCGTTGTCGCCACCAGTGGAGGAACGTTTGTGAGTTTGTGCAGGTGCACGCGCAAGGTGTGGTGGTGCTCGTGTGACAAGTGGACCATGTCGAAGTTGGTATGTAAGCACTGCCTTTTCCTTGTAAGAGCATCGCATTGTGCTGCGGGACTTTTGGAACAAGTGCACCAACGGTCATCTCCACACCGCAAGCCGTTGGATGGTTGACCGTTTCGGTTGGCATGTCGTTGGCCAAAGCGTCCGTGTAAGAATTGAGATGTCTGTGGTGGCACGGCTGTACAATACGCCTTGGCTGAGTTAATCTTCCGCCGCCGACTCATGCATACCACGTGGGTCGTCGCTGTCTAGCCACATTCTAGGTAACCAACGAGTAATCCCGAGTGTGTTCGAGCGCAGGATGCAACAATTTCTTCAGAATGAATGGAAACACTACGCGAGACCAGTTCGGGGCTGCATATATGCTTGGGGTGCGGTGGCCGGCGTTGTTGAATTGTTCCGTCCGCGAGTGGGGGTATGCATCACCTTTTCGGACACATTACACGTGCTTTGTCAAGGCGAAGCTCGGCATGGAGGCGGAGTATATCAAGACGTTCTTCCTTAGAACGCCTTCTTGGGCACTCATGTCGAATGTAGCTGGTGATATCATCGTACTCATCGTTGCTGTAGGTTTCCATGCCAAACTTCATGAATGACAACCATGTACTACGTAGTAGTAAAATTGTAGAGAGGTCAACGCACAAGGGGCAAATACAAATAAAAAAACTCTTGTTCATGAATTCTTATCAGTTGTTAGTCCTCTTAGCAGTATTTGGATGGTCTTCGCTACTTCCACACTTATCTCAACGGGTATTCCTTTTTGACTGTGAGTTCGACTTCCATTGAACAAAATTTAGATATTGCTGAGCTCTGAGCTCACACAAATCTTCAGAGGAAACTCTGATGTGGTTCTTGAGATATGAATGCGTGTCCTCGATGCCGTTATAACGTGTCAATACATTGGCTGTAGAGTCGACTACTAGTAATGGCGTAGTGCGGAATTAAAAATTTCGCAAGTGAATATTGCAACTTATTGTAAATTCATTGACCTTTCGGATACAAGTAGATATTTTTGCACCTACACCACACAGCAAACTCACTGTTTGGACATTGGGCGGGTTCAGACCTGAGCAATTAAATTATCTGCATGTCATTGCAAAACCAAAAATTTGACTTGCGCATGTAATGAATTGGTCCACTGTGCTGGATACAGAGACTTAACGTACTTTAAAGCAATCTCCTTAAAAATAAAATTCCGATTTTCTCATCGTGTGAGTTCAGTCAAGTTAACGAAATGTACGTAGAAATAGTCGGCCTTGCCCTTGAGCACAAGGCATCGAAACCAGCATGCTGCATGCTTGGCATGTCTCAGGAACTCATTTTATTTCATACATTGAGCTTGTATGCATTTAACAAATTTATATAAATATCGTCCAAGTGGTGTGCCACCATCTGATTGCTGTTGCACCAGCATCCAGTGTCCAAGTGCGCACGTCGGCAACTACGCGCGATCCGACCGCAAGCACCACCATGGACAGATCCACGGTCGTGCGAGACTACCACTACACGGATGCAATCTCGCCATACACAGACTTCGACAGACTCGACGACCTTCACCTTGACCATGACCTGTCGCCACTCAGTTTCGACGACTCCATGCATCATATCGTTCAAGTGGAAACAGCCAGGACGCTGACGGGTCGACGGGTCCCGACAACACCGACAACAGCTAGGCGGCAAGCGATATACGCTTCAAACAACGGCGAAACGAGGTGGTTTCCAAGGCGCCTCTTCCCGAAGTTCTCCATATGGGACACGAACGTTCTGTGGTCTGCCCTGGCAGCCCTTGCAATCGCCACCACGTCCATGGTTACCGCCGGATTTATCCTCCGCCGTCCATCTGAATCGTCCTTGGGCATTCATATCGCCTGCTATGCGCCAGGGAACGATGAAGCTGCTGTGTTTCTCGGCGATTTTAGACAATCCCATGCCATCGTGGGCGCAATGGTTCAGCTGGGCACGTACGCTGTGCTTGGTGTCGTGTCAGTGTACGTCGGCATTCAGTGCAGCTTTAGCAAGCAAAAGGTTCTGGCCAACCCAAACAATTCCAACCTGAGTACGACCAACCACGTTAGGCGAAGCCTCATATGATTGCGTAGCGTCGAGCTTTGTGCTGCCGTGTTATGGCACGATTTGGTACACCATGGCCGCGCTCTCCATCGCCGAAATTGCCGTCATCGCGTCCAGCCATGTTCGATACGTCCAAGACAGCCGTGGCCCCTATTGCATTCTCCTCAACTTCCCCCGCATGTGGTAACGAGAGTCGAGTGGATGTGGCTCGTATGCACATACTTCACAACCTGCGGTAGGATACGGCACCTGGTTCCGCTGCTCATGCTTCAAAAGTCCGTGTCCCAACGAGCCGTCCATCGCGCGATTTTCCTTTCAGGCTTATGTACGATCTGTCCACACTCCTTCATCGGGTTGAGTGGCTCGTGTGCGTAGTGACAGCGGCCGTGCTCAGCATCTTGACTGCACCGCAGAGCCTCTCCACAGTGTTCATTGCATACCCGTTTGGGTTGGTCTTGTTCTGTTCGTTCGTCAAATTTGTTTTGCACACGCGCGCGTCGTTTGACGTGTACTGGTACTTTTTGCTCGTGTTGTGTACCGTCCACATCTTGTACGTCCTCATCTCTCTCTTTGCGATACTCAATGCCGATGGCTGACGCCAGGGCTTCGTGTAGGCCATCCATGTTGTGGCTTGCTGTGACCGACGCATCGACACCTGCCGCCGTCGTGCTGCTGTCGATCTCGGCAGACATCCTCGACGGATGGACCCTCGCTGCGATTATGCTGACACTACGGGTACGATCGTATTCGAAACCTCCGTCAAAGGGGTGGTCATGGTGCAGCTAGGTCGATACAATGTACTGGCTTGGCCTCGACACGCCATCCGCCAAGAGCCACGACCCTGCCAAACTCTACCTTCGTTTGGTACGTTGGCCATCGAAGGGTTGTGGAGCGCGCGGTCACTTGTGTCGGGAATAGATTGCGGATCAAGGAATGGGATCGTCGTTTTCCACGCGGACTTCGGTCTACGACGTCCACTACTTGATCGAGATGTTCAAACACGTACGTTTGCACGGCATCTCGGTGGTCCATGCAGCATCTTGATGGTCCTTTGTGTCTGCGCAGTGCATGGTGGACGTGTCGTCGCTGGCGCTGGAAGCGGTGGTAGCGCAGGGATCAACGTCGGTAGTGCTGCGGGGTCGCCTCCAACACGCCCTCCGCGAACCCGAGGCGGTAGCCATCAAGTTGTACACGACGTGGTTTGTCACGGACGACGAAGTCTGTCTTTTTTCCAAGGAGGCGGCGTGCAATGCGCAGCTATCGCACCCCAACATTGTTCGTTTCTATGGGTGAGAGAATCTGCACGTTCGAGCTTGACGGGGCGAGCAATGCCGTAGGTTGTGCGTGGTGCCCCCCAGCATCTGCCTCGTGTTTGAGTTTTGCGACTTGGGGTCGCTCGAGTCGATTTTACAGGCCCAACGTCGGACTGGAGACGCGTGGGACCTCCGCACAAAGCTAAAGGCGTGCTTGGATGCCTGCAGAGCAGTAGCCTACCTCCACAGTTTCCACCCTCCTCTTTTGCACCGGTATGTACTGCCCGGCATGCGTGCTAGACGCGGACGGCTCTCCGACGTCTTTCGTTCGGCGGCTCGATTCGCTGAGACTATAACTTTATTGTAGCGACATCAAGACTGCCAACTATCTCTTGTCGTCATCGGATAATTTGCTCAAGCTCAGCGACTTTGGCGAGTCGAATCTGCTGGGACCGAAAAACGACGGCACGATGACAGTTGTCGGCACCGTTGACTTTATGGTTTGGATCTACTATCGTCGTCACCTTCTGCGAGTGCGCTGCGATGGACTTGCTGTGTAGGCACCGGAAATGATCAATGGGAGCAATACCAAGAGTGCCGTGTATGGCCCTGCTGCGGACGTGTACAGCCTCACGATGACCTTATGGCATATATTGGTGCCGGGAGAAGCCCCGTGGCACGGCCATTCCCACTTTGATGTGTACACTGAAATCATTCAAGGCCATCGCCCCCGCCTTCCGTCCGATCTGCCCCCCGGCTGTGTCGACTTGTTGGAGCGTGGATGGAGCCCCCAGCCGCATGACCGAGAGCCTATACACGCCATGGTCCAGCGCGTGCTCGATTTATACGCGCCGTTCACCCAGTGAGACGAAGCGACTCCACAAAAGCTGAGCGAACAACGTCCACGCGGCGAGGCCAGGTCCTGGTCTCGTCCGCAGTGCCCAGACCTCCACCGTCCACTATCTCGGAGGCCAAGGCTACGTAGCGTTAGTTGGCAGTGATGCAGTCCCGCCCCCAACTTTATTTATTCCCATCAACACTGCTACAGTCCCATCGTGTCCAAGGCGAAGTGTTCAAGTAACGTCTAGTACACTACTAGTAGTATGTACCACGTGCTGCTCACATGAACTCTGCGAGGGTCCATCGTTCCTGATACTAGTAGTGTAGTAATACTAGGTAGACGAGTCCTACTACTATATTCAAAGTAGCGAGTAGGACACATTCCGATTGATTTCTCGTCCAAATGGAACAGTCTCGTTGACAAGTGTCGTCCACTTCGACATTCCATTCAGATTGTCTAAATGCAAGAATACATCCAACGCCATGAGTGAAAAACGAGGAGAATTTCTTTTGATATTGCACGACTCAACATGATACATATGCTTATAAAAAGGAGTCGCGGTCCCGTGTTCTAAACTATGGAGGTTTTGCTCAGGACGTGGTACTCTATAAAATGATACATCGTGAACAGAACAGTATTTCGATCCTTCCCCTCCAAATAGAA